CCATACTATCAATAGGCATTCAAAATTGATGGGTAAGAAGAAGTAGTTGACCAAAAACCGATTCGTTTGTAAAGTCAACGAGTCCAAAATGGTATTAAATTCCAAAATCGGGCATTATTTGTCTGAGATATCCCAAAAAATTATCAATTAAATTTAACACTATGACCGAATCGAATGAAAAATTCAAATTTTCCCGCCAGTTCCTAAAAATACGTCGTCGAGTCAACCCTGTTATTTGTCACCACTAGTAACCACCTTGCACAGCTGATTAGCAGTTGGGTTTTCAGCTGTTGCCGCACAATCTTTTTTAGAGTCAGTTTTCAAGGCACCACGCGATACTCACGTAGCGGGCGTAAGATTTCAATTTATTTTTTAAAATTCTTCAATTCTGCAACAAGAGATAAAGCCTGAGCTAAAGCCGCTGCCAAAATGAGCGAACTGAGTGCTGCAGATAAACTCGACTATGTGAAGTCAAAGATTGGCGAATATGTTGACTTCCCAAAGAAGGGCATTGTTTTCCGGTGGGTCAGTTAGCTTATCACTCCATCAAAGTGCTATTTAACATGTATATTGTTTATTATACATAGTTAACTTCCTATCAGTTGATTAACATGTGTTCCCGATCTTATCTCTAATTGTCTGGCAGTGACATATTCGGCGCCCTCACCGATGGCAAAGCATGTGTTTATCTGCGTGATTTGCTGGCAAAGCACATCCGCACCGTCCATCCAGATGTGGAGCTAATAGTGGGTCTGGATTCGCGTGGTTTTCTCTTTAATCTGCTGCTGGCCACCGAGCTGGGCGTGGGCTGTGCACCCATACGCAAGAAGGGCAAACTGGCGGGCGAGGTGGTCGCCGTAGAATATCAGCTGGAATACGGTTCGGTAAGCAGCCAAACCTGTCGTAATATTTCTCTGCTATAATGTTATTCTTATAGGACACATTTGAGCTGCAGCGCGCAGCAATCAAGCCGGGCCAAAAGGTGGTCATTGTCGATGATCTTTTGGCAACGGGTGGTTCACTGTTGGCTGCCACGGCGCTGGTACGCAAGTTGGGTGGCGTGGTGCTGGAAAGCTTGGTTGTCATCGAGCTGGTGGCATTGGATGGCCGCAAGAAGCTGGACTGCGATGTACATTCCCTGATAAAGTACTGAGCAGCACATATATAACTACCATATATGCATTTAGCAACGAAATATTTTACCTCAAAATATCACCAAGTGAATTTTTGTAATACTTTATGGAACTTGCAATGAGCATGTTTTAACTAAATGGTTGTCGGAACAAACTAAATTAGTGCAAATATATGATTTAATATTTTATATAAAGTAGTCTTTCTATTTTAGATGCCAGTGCTTTTCACTTTGTAACTATATCTAATGCTTACAATAAGAATAAAATATTATTGGGAACATATGTCCTAACTTTATAAGCCACCCTCTGCTCTGAAAGCAACCCCCACCATTGGCACAGTCTTCTCGTCGAAGTTCTCTCTGCGCATTCAAATTTAGCTGCTACTCTTGCCGGCCTTGCCTTTTGCCCAGCTATAAACAAAAATGTTTGCCCTACGGCAGCGTAAAAAACTGAGCTCTTCGCTCGCCGATAAACAAATCAAAAGCACAGACTCAGCTACCAACAAACAACGCGCTCTCCGTCCAAAGAACGCCAGCAGGCAAGAGCTGCCGCATGGGCGACGCCGGCGCAAAGAAACTAAAAATTTCAAACTGAAACTGACAGTCGAATAGTCCGGGCAGTCGGCAGTCGGGAGAGTCGATTGAACGGTCGAAGGGTGCGGAGCGGTCGGAGGCGGGAGCAGCCAATTCAGTAGCTGCCTGTGCTCATTTCGCATTTGAATTCATTCGTGAAATGTGCGTTGCTCGGAACGGTGCGTTGTGTGTGCTCTGTTCTCTGTTGTGTTGTGCTGTGTTATGTTTGCTGGCTGCTATATATCCGCCCCCACCCCCTCGGTCGGCCCGCAACAGTTTCGCACGCCCACCAATTGCGAGCGTTTTGCAGTGTTTAGTTTGTTTTTTTTTTGTTTGCTGGGCGAATACAAAATCACGGTGGCTGCTTCAATTAATATTGATTGAGCGTCTTTCAATTGGCACACAATCGAAAACCAACAACAAACTGGCAGCAATTGTCGCGCGAGGCACGCCAGCAATTGATAGCATTACGTATACGCCGCGTGCGCCTTCATTTGTTTTGTTTGCATGCTTCTGATTGTTTGCATGTGTGTGCTGTGTGCTGTGGGTGTGAGTATGTGACGCCTGTGTGTGTGTGTGTGTGTGTTTGTGTGTGTCGTGCGCCAATTTGCACGAATTTTATACAAATACCGAGCCAAACTTGGAGCATTGCCTAAAAAGTTGGCAAAAAAAAACAAATTGCTGTTAAATTATATTTGATATTTGTATTTCTTTCGCATACGGTCTGATAAACAAATTAAATTTTACTAGCTGCTGAGTGAGGCGAAGCAGCTCAAAGTCAGGCAACGGCATTGCACCTGCCACTGTCAAGCAAACTCCCCCCTCCCCCATCCCCACTCCGCGCTCCAACAGAGTCGTAAAAATCAATAATTGACATCTTGACTCCTTGCAGCAGCAGCGGGCAGCTGGTTGGCACCCTAATACCGAGTCATAAAAGACACCCCCAACAAAAAAAAAACCCACCGAAAATTCAATTGTTATGTTTTTGTTGCAGTGACACAATTTTACACTGTTAGCTGGGCTATAAATACGGCCCCAAAAGGGTTCCGGCCAAGTCTTTGCACAGCAGCAGTAGAAATGTTTGTCATCAATTATGCTGGGTATGCTACATGCCCGTACTAACTATTTGTATATTTATATATTCTCAATATATAGCACAGCAACTAAATATAGCTAAACAGCAGCAACAACAAACTGGCATCAAAAAGGCTATGAGCAAATTGTACAAAAACTGTCGCCAACTGCACGCAACATTTACCGCGTAGCAGCGACAGCCAAAAGTAAAAATATAAACAAAAAATAGAAAGCAACAAAAAAAAATAAAATAAAGTCGAAAAAAGTAGAAAATGTCGTACATCAATGGCAAAGGAAAATATATCAAAATAAATATGAATACGAGAAATAATACAATTATGAATAACATGAGTGTCGAGCGAATGGCTAACTAAACTACAAACAGTTCCTATGCATTTGGCCTTGTGTTTAAATGAAATTGAACAAGAGCAACGCAAATTGTCGCGTTCGGCGATATTTGCTCATCTTTACGGCCTTATCGCTCCTACTGCTGCCCCTATCGCTCATCTATTTGGTATGGAATGAGCAGCTGCAAAAGATTAAGGGATACGAGGTGAGTGTGTGCCTATATTCATATATATATATTATAGTATGTTGTATATGTGTATAGTACATATATATAGTAAAATTGCACAGCAAGCACAACACATTCATATAGGATAGTGTTGTGTGTGTGTGTGTGTGTGAGCGTGTGTTTGGCCAAGGTCGTAAGCACCTTTGTAGTTGTTGTTAGCTGGTAGCCTGGTAGCTTTTAAGTGGCCTGCAAACACAGTTTGTTTTGGATTATATACCATATGGCGCAAATGTTTGCAGGGGCTGCCCCTGACAACAAGCAAATTGCCGCCAATCGATTGCTCGTTATTCAATGCATTACGCAGCCCCATAAAAACTCCCAATAACAATTCCAGCAATCAATTGTGAAACATTAACCAATAGATCAATGTCGAATGGAACTTAGACAGAAGCATTTCGAGTGGAAAAATCCCTTAATGACTTCTATACCCTGTAATTATATTGGTTAGATTCAAATTTAGCAAAGGCAATACTTTTACTATTCATAGCTTAACAAATTTGGGTACTTTCCACGCTTCAAACAAATAAATTTCCACTACGCTCAAATATATAAATTACAATATGCACCTACATATATGCTCTCAGCTCTCTGTCTATTCGTAATTTAGCGAATTTGTACAATTTCCAAGAACTAGTTTATACTAGATACGTGCAGAGCATCTGCTGGGGCCTTAATCGCATTCGTATAGCTGTGAATAGGCACGCGTGCTGTGTGAAGGGCATTCACAAGATACAATAATAATATTCTAGATATAGCTACACTTACACACACACACACATATATATTTGCCGTATGCAAACAGTACGAATGGGCAATTTTCAAATGCTTAATTAAATTTCATTATTTACGCTTGTTTATTTATCAAAGTTTTTAACACCTCGTTACACATTTAGCAACCCAAAACGAGGCGTATTACGGGGGGTCCATTTCTAGAGTGCGCTCTTAAAAAGTGCAAATTAAAATGAAATTTGTTCAGGCCTGCCGTCAGTTGTGTGTGTGTGTGTGTGAAATTTCTCATTGCCAATTACCAATTGACACTTAAATGTGGAATTGACACGCCTACTATTGAACGCCTCCCTAGGCAATGCTTTGCCTTAGGTACTTTAGCTTTGCTTGCCAGACACAAAGGCGTCCCCCCCCCCCCCCTTCGCTGCGGATTGCAATATGTCCTTAGGCCACTTGCATTTAAGAACATTCGCGTGGGCTGAATCTAATTGCCTTGGCGGGAAATAGCACTTGGTCAGGACACGTCAGAGGCGCAGGAAAATCGATGCTTGGGACCAAAGCAAACACATATCAATGGAAAGTTGGCCTCTAATTTTTGCTACATTAAATAATGGTGACTTAATGCTTAGGCAGCCACAAAAAATGTTAAATAAAAGAAATAAAACACGCATACGCCGTGTTCTGCTCAACATTGGCATAATTAGGCACAGCGGCTAACACGTAACACACCAAACTCACCTACGCACACACGCACGCACATACAAACACGCGCAGGCACCGAGTGCTGCTTAAGCGGCAGACCGCCCACATCACGCCCACATATCACATCTCCCATATACACACACACACATATGTAATAACCTGCCACAGTTCATGTCATGCACATAGCGCCACTTTTGCTGCGAATTCATTTGCTAAAATCCTGTGTGATCGACTAAGAGATGCCTCGTACATAGAAATAATATATGTGCTTAAGTTAGTTGCGCTTAAAAGTAGGCTATGTCCAGTTATGGAGGCGGCCTAAGTAGAGCCTTAAGATTTTAGTTATAAATATTGGATTATAATTTAAGATAATAAAGGTAGTAAACTTTAAAAACACGAGAAATTCAACAATATCTTTATATATATTAGAATTGATATTTAAATTTGCATGTAAAGCTTAAGCTTACTTTCATAAGTAGTTAACGTTTATTCAGATTTTACTGCTTTTTGTTTGGCTTTGCCTACTGTTTTATATAATATACCCTACCCACCAACAGTTTGAAAGCAGGGTATAGTTATACGAGCCACAATGACCGCTAAACAATCATCTAGATTTATAACGATGCCAGTTGACAGAGCTGCCCAGTGGGATTTTAATTGGGCTCGTTGAGGCTACCTTGACACTGGCATGCCAGCGACATGAGTCAGTGGTGCTGTCAGTGGGGCTGTCAGTGGGGTCAGCGGTGTCAGTTGCGCCTTGAGCAGTGCTTTATGCATTTATTTAGGACCGCTTTGCTGAGCATCATAACCGAAACGCTTGTATATTACGCATACGCCACGTCATGTTTGCATTTAAGCAACTGTTTCTCTGTGTAACACGTCTAAATGCAAATGCTTTTTTAGGCTTTTAATGCGCAACAGCCACAGCCACAGCTACAGCAACAGCAGCAGCAACAGCAGCAGCAGCGGAAACAGCGGCAACAGCGGCAGCAGCCGGCGGCGGCGGGTCAAACATTTCGTTATCCTGTGCTGCTGCTGAACAAAAACAAAAACAAGGAACTAACCGTGGTCGCAACGGGCAAGACTAAGAATAAGTGGCGCTATGTTGATAAAGTAAATATTTAACCCACACACACACACAACCAAACACTCACATTGTTAATGGCAAAGTAAACACTAAAACAACAACAACAACAACAACAACAACAATAACACATTCCGTCAAATTTATGGGTGCATTAAAAAAGCGCGCAGGAATTAAAATTCTTTGGCCTCATCTATTCTCGATCCCCAAATGAATGATTGGCAGTTGCTTTGGGCTTGGCATGGCATGGCCCGTCGTCGGGTTCCTCCTCCTCCTCCTCGAAAACATTTGCTTATAAATATAGTCATTAAGTGCCTGTTACCCTGACCCAACCAATGGCTCATTTATCCGCTCTTGCTCCCAACTATTCCAACAGATCAACAATGAAACGGGACTCTCGCTCATACCCGACTATGCTGTGCAGTCGCTCTCAGAGGAGGAAATGCAGGAAATGTCCGTGGTAGGTGCTTTTGGGGTTACCATTATGGCCATTGTTAACAGGTATTACATACCATATATACGCTTTATCTTTATGCGGGCGCAGCGTATGGAGGCGCGGCTCAATAGACTGAAGGACAAGTGCTCCGAGTTCGGACTGGATGTGCTGGGTGAGGCTTGGCAAATAGAATTTCCGACTCTTTTATAGGTTCTATAAATAGTTTCTATTATAATTACAGGACAGGATTCCTGGCATACGCCCAATACTTGGGAGTTTTTGGTTAATAAAAAATATCATATAATATGGTAAGACCAAATCTGCACTGTTAGCGGATATCTGTATTAGAGCATGTTCGTCCAATGATTGCAGGTGCAATGTCTTCAAGGCGGCCTCCTCATCCTGGATGTTCAATTTCAATGTGCTGGCCGGCTACACGCCGAGTTATTTGCTTAAGACCAAAAAGATTCTGCTCAATCTGGCCAGAGAGCGTTATCCGCGCGTAACGCTGCAAGAGGTGAGATCTAGGCCCAAGTGAGATCTATCTCAATTTGAGATATCAATTAATGTTCTTTTTTGCAGCTGCACGAGGCGCAAAACGATTCAATTACATTTATCATAGCTAGAAACCCCTTCGAAAGACTGCTGAGCGCCTATCGAGACAAGATCGTGTTCGCGCTGCCCTATTCCTTTCACGACAAACTTGGCCGCAGCATTGTGCGGACCTATCGAAAGAAGGTGGTGTATTTGGTGTATCCAAGATTATATATACTTAAGCTTCGCTAACTTGTTTGAATCCATTGCAGCCCAAGTTGATCTCACGTGCCGGCACCACAAAGTATCCGTCGTTTCCCGAGTTCGTGCACTGGCTGCTGGATCAGGTGAAGCGGGGCAACTACATAGACATGCACTTTGTGTCGGCCACATCGTTCTGCACGCCCTGCCTGATTCGATTCGATATGATATTGAAGTTCGAATCGCTGGCCGAGGATCAACTATATCTAATTGAAAAGACTGGCCTCCAGCGCGTCATAGCGCCCGTCTGGCGCAACATGGGCAAAGGAGACAGAAAGACACAGGAGCTGCAACAGCAGTTCTATTCCCAGCTCACCAAGCAGGAGATGATGGAGCTATACGAATATTACCGGTAAGTCCAACAGGCCTTAAAATTAAACAAAAAACCTTAACGTATGTATATACTCACAGATTCGACTTTGATCTGTTCGACTACGATATAAAGGAATATCTGCAATTCGCCAGATCAGATGAATTAGCTGGCGCCGTCGCATCGGGGGTGTAGTTAATTAAGCGAAACTTAAAATGCATAGAGTTTAGCAAAAGATATAAAATAAAAACAAAAAACACTTAGACACATACGAAATAATTAGCCGTCACAGTAGGTAATTGCAAATGTTGATAATAATGAATGAAACAATAATAAAGTTAATGGCAGAAACTATTGAAACGAAACAAAAAACACGTTGTTTATATTAAAAGGGTTGCAAAGCTTTAAGCTTAGCTAATTTATCAATTCTAGTATATTCCGTATGAACGTATGAAAATAAAAACAAGAGCTGAACGACATTGAAATTGGCTGACGATGGGGCAGATAATTTGGGTCCAAATGTCCATTTGGTTTTATTTTTATGTTAATAATAATAATTATGATAATAATAATATTAATAATAATAAAATGAATACAAAAAATAGCAATAAAAAATTGGTAAATTCAACTACATACAATATAATGAATTAACTAGCTAATTAACTGAGATACCGTTACACATTCTCAACATTCAAAATGATTAATCTGCGGCAAATTTTAGTTTTTCTGAAGTTTGTTTTATTTTTTTGTTGTATTTTGTTTTTAGTTTTTTTTTAGGTTTTTCTCATTTTAAACTTAATTTATACATACAATAGGTTTTTGTATTTATTAATTGTAAAACATAATATGTATGTATATATTTATAGATGTATATAATATATTTAGTTATATGACTACTAAACTATGCGCTCTTTACGTTTGTTGTTTTCGACTGTTTCTTTTTTTTTTTTTGTTTTGTTTGTTTTTCGCTTGATCATATTGTAACTGTTTAGCACACACGCAGAATTTAAATTTGTATTTGTTTTTTAATATGTACGTAGTCGAATATAAATGTATTTTACAATTTTTGTTTGTTTACTTTGTATAAAATTTAACTATTTTGTGGCTGGTGCAAATGTGTTCAATTAAAGAACCGCCTGCTAGAACATTATAATATGCACATAATCCATTGATTGGATGAACCATTTTGGTTGAACGAACGCCTCACTAATAAAAAACCATATGTTTAGTGTCTAAAACTACGTTCCGGTTTTAGTTCTTTGTCGTAAATTTGTTAATTACGTTGCGTTTACCTAGTTAAACTATAGAAAAAACTTATTCTGGACTTTTTACATGTGTATTTTGTTTTTTTGTTTTTTTTTGTTATCATTTGTTTCTGTTAATTGTTTTATACATAAGCTAATTAAAATTACATCAATTTGTTTAAACAACTACAACTAGTTCAATGTATTATGCCATATTATGTGTATATTTCTCCTTTTGCTGTGTTTTCTTTTATCTGTTTTTAATTGTTTTCTCTCTTTTTATTCTTTTTGCTTGCCTTGATGGTTTTAAAAACCATGTTATGTTCTTCGACTTGAATGCCGCAATCTAACTTAGATCTATTTATTTACGCTCGATTTCGTTTAACAAACTAAGCTACACAATTTAATCATATTATTTATATGTTTATATCGTTTAGATAAGGCCGTCAATGCAATTAATGCAATTAATTATGTTAAAAATTACAAAATCAAACGCTGGCTGACTGCACGTTGAGTTTTTGTTTTGTTTTTGCTACTGTGAGTTTTGTTGTTGTTGTTGGTTTCTCTTTTGTGTTTTTGGATTGGTTTGGTTTAAGTGTTGCTGGCTATTTAATTGGAAAACGATTTGTAAATTAGATTTAAAAAACTTTTAATTACAATTTAGTTGGTATTTCTACGCATACGTTATTTAAATAGGGCGCCTAACTAAAACAACAAAGGGACGACGCAGTTAAATCTGACAGCTAAATAATATTGCAAATTGATGAACGCAGCTGCTAGACGCTAATAGAAGAACGATAGCTGGAGCTGGAGCTGGAGCCGAAGCCAGAGCAGGAGTTGGAGTTGGAGTAGGAGTAGGAGTAGACGCAGGAGAGCTCGTATGGGTGCGTAGGTATGTGAACAACAGCGGCGCCAGCAGCGATCACTTGAGGTAAGTCTTGAACAGCACCGAGCTGCGACAAAACTCGCGCTCCTGCTCCATAAAGAAGAGCATGTCGCGCAGATTGACACGCTTGATGCGCGGCCGCAACGTTGTGGTCGCCGTACCGGTGTTGCTCAGCAGACCGCCGCCACTGGAACCCTGTGTGTGTAGAGCAGATGCCATGTTTGTTGAGTAAGCAATCGAATGGTCGCTGGTAAGTTGATGTTACTCACCACGCCCACACCGGCCGCATCGCTGTCCAGTTTGAGTTTTTTCCGTGGTCCAATTGCCTGCAGTGCCGTCAAATTCGCATCGCGCTGTCGCAGCTCTTCCATTTCCGCACGCTGCATTTCTTTCGCCTGGAAAGAGTAATATGTGTAAGATAAGGCAGCTGGAATTGCAGGTGCAATTGATTCTTACCCTCGCCTTCATCTTTGCTTGCTCGGGATCTTCGACTCGCGTTCTGGACTTGGCCGCTCGCAGTAGCATCTCGCGCTCCAGCTCCTCGTGACGCTTCTGCTCAGCCTTGTCCAACTCCTCCAAAAACTTGATTTGACCGCGGACATCCTTCGCGGGCTCATAGCGTGGATCCAACTGTGGGATAGACAGGATTTATTTAAAGCCGAACTGCAGAGCAGTGAGAGCATGAACCCACCTTGATGACATCAATGCGGTGCTCCGCTATCACAGCCAACTTCTCCACAATATTCTTGAGCCGTTCCTGGCACGCATGTGATATGAGCACGGCAACATCCTGCGAAGGTTCATCTAAGCCACGTTCCGCGGTTATCGCGCGTATTCGTGCCTGCAACGCTGGCAAGTTGAGAAACACCTCATCCTTGCAGGATCGTATCTGCGTTCCAATGTTCTCCGTGCATCCCAGAATGCGCTGCGATTCCTCGGCTAGATTAACACCGCCCATGGCTGCCACATCGTTAATATCATCATCGCCATATATCGATGATGACATGGAGCTTTGTTGGAAAAACGAATTTGCGGCCGCAGCCGCTGCTGACCCCGCCATCCCACTACCGCTGTTTGCCCTCTCATCCTTGCCATCCCGATCGATCGTATCCCTTTTCTTTTTATTCGCCGATTTGTTCGCCATGGGCATCGCGCCACGCGGCATCGCCTTGGCCGAAATAGGCGTCAGCGAGGCATTGATGCGTTCCATATGCGGCAGCTGCGGTGCCTTAATCTCAACGAGCTTTGGCTCAAAGTGATTGTTGTTGTTGTGATGCAGCGAGTTCTGCATCTGTTCGCGCGCACGCAACGCTTCCGGCGGCAGATGAACTGTAGGCAACGATGGCACCGGCAACGATGTCGTCGATGCTGAATTTATCGTCGATAGTACTGATAACGTCGGCGTTGGCGGTGGTCCACTGTTCGATGATATGGCCGCCAGCGAGGGCGGATGCAAACTGGACGTTATGGCCTTGATCTGTGTCTGACCAACCTTGACGGCAGTGACTTTGTTCGTGGGCGTACTGTTTGGCGGACGGGACGTGGCACGTATTTGAACCGATCCCGGGCGCTGCAGCTGTGCGTTATGCGGGCCGCGTATTTGCACAATGTTCTGGGTGGATGTGGAGAGTGAAAGTCTGTTTGCATAAGGTCAGATGTCATTCTTATACTTACCGCCTGCGCGGGCATTGGCAGCGAAGGCATTTGGCCGCGTATGGCCAGACGCGGCGCTGTGGGCAATCGAATGTTTGGCGGCTGCTTGGATATCGTCGTGTGGCCAATGGTCGGCCTCGGCGTGCCCAATGCATTTGGTGTTATCATGCGCACCTGCGTCTGTCCGATGGTCGTCGTCTGGCTGAGTCCAATCGGACGGATTTGCGCTTGAATTTTCTGTGAAAAGATTGTGGGGTTAATAGTAGTTTGATTGATTGGATGGATTGAGCGTTAGGCATGACTTACCGGAAGCTGTGGCGGAAGTCCAGCCAATCCCAACACATGCTGTGGTGGCGGTTTAATGCCCTCAATGACCAGCTCCTTGGTGTAGAGAGCCTGACGCAGCAGTGGCAGACTTTTCTGCAGACGAAGGCGCAAATTAGTAAACATTTGGCATAACATTCAATAATAGCTTACCTTGAGAAACCCAATGAGGCACGGCTGTGGACTGGCGTTGAGCAAACGCTCCAGGCGATCACAAAATTCCTCCGGCTCTACATTCGCATTGACCAGCTCCTGGATGAGCGTGCGCACATTTTTCTCCACCGGCTTCGGTTCGCGTGTCGACAATTCAATTAAATTGGCTAAAAACTTGCGACACTTTTCTTTGGTATTGCCCTGCGCAGCCGTTGTCGTTGATGTTGCGTTCGCATTCGCTACCGCCGTTGCCGCCGCTGCAGATGCCACCTGCACGTTGTTGGCTTGCGAATGCGTCTGTGCGGCTGGTATCGTTTGGATTTGCGTTACTTGCGGCAAATGCGGTTGTTGTTGCTGCTGCTGATGCTGTTGCTGGAGCTGCGCCAAATGCGGCGGATGTGAGGCGCTGCTAAAACTATGCGCATTGCTGCTGGCCACCGAGTTGACAATTATGTTGCTGGAGGCGGTGGTGCTGGTCATTGACTGTGGTTAAAATAAACATTATAGATTAACAAACAAATGTTTGAAGCAACTGTGCGCAGTCAGTGCAAATAAAAAGCGATAAGCGATAAGTTAAAACCAGAAAATAGTTGAGTGACTCTTATGGAGGCGCACATGGGCTACGGGCTCCTATTAGTGGGTGTGTGTGTATGAGTGGGTGCAAGTGGTGTGCGGGTCAGATGTTGAGGTTTTAGTGATTAATAATGGAGTAACATATAAGCTAATGCCAAAAAATGTTGTTTGCCAACATATTTAAATTAATTTTGAATTTGTTTAAAATGTTTTTGTTTTCTTTTGATAACACACCCCCATTCGGAGCCCGAATAGCCTTCGGTGCCTTGTTCATGATCATAATGCTTCTTAATTTCTAAATGAAAAAATAGAGTTGAATGATTTTTTGTTGATTTTCGAAAAAAAAAAAAAACGAACAGCAACGCGTTTTACCACAGCGAATAACTAAATCAAAAGAATACGTCAAGTCAAATACACAGACAGTTACAACGCAGCATGCAAAACTGAGCAAAAGTACAATTATATATATGTATATATTATATAAGATATATTGAAATGAAAATTGAAAAAGTTGGGCGGACAGTCGATTGCTCGAAGTCTGGCCGAAAGTCTAAACAAAATTGAAAACTGAAGCGTAGCGTTAAAAAACAGATCAAATGCATAAACAGACAAGAGAGAGGCGTTTTAGAGAATATATAAAGTATATATAATATTGGAAACTATGCGAATTTCCATTTCTAAACAAGTTGAGCTTTGATTTTTACATTTTGCTTGATCTTAATTGTGGCCGCGACATTTGCCGCAGCAGCTGCGGCGGCCGCGGCGGCTGCGCTGCTGGCGCTGGCTGAGGCCTGTTGCTGCTGTTGCTTATGTTGCTGCTGTGCTTGTTGCTGCTGCTTCAGTTGTAGCTGTAGCTTCTGCTGCTGTTGCTGCTGCAGGTTAGTAGCGGGCTTGTTGTTGTTGTTGTTGTTGTTGGTAGTGGTTGTGGTGGTGGTATTGGTGGTGATATTATTAATATTATTATTGCTGGATGGGAGGATTGTGGATGATGTACGGACAATCGTTTTGCGTAGTGCTATGCTAGTGCTGGCAGTTGTTGCTTGTGAGGATGCTTGTGTTGTTGTTTGATGCTGTTGCTGTTGTTGCTGTTGCTGCAGCTGCGTTTGTTGCTGTTGTTGTTGTTGTTGTTGGGATGACGATTGGCCATGATATCTACTTACAGCTGCAGCCGGCACAGTTTGCAGACGTATCTGTGTGGTTATGGGATGATTTGTTGTTGTTGTTGTGGTGTTGTTGTTGTTATTATTATTGTTGTTGTTGCTGGTGTTAGATATGGTCTGTGTCATCGTCGGCGGGCCCGTCGTTGAGGCCGTGCCCACGCGCAACAACTGAAATCCATTATCCGTTTTCACTAACAGTGCAGGCGTTTGTCCTGTATTAAGTGTGCCTAAAGTTATCTAAAATAAAGAGAGAGAGAATAGACAGAGAATAGTTCAAAGTACAAGGCGTACCCGCTGATATAAATGCATGTATATGTACATATGTGTGTGTTTGTGTGTGTGTGTGTGAGTGTGAGTGGGTGGTTGGGGTTTGGGTGCATGTGAGTGCGCTGTATTAGGGAGCCTTGTGGATTAGTAGAGAAGAGCCCACCACAACAACAAAACTCAAGAGTTTTCCTTACAGATACACGCATTTTCTCATTTTCTAGTCACACTTACCGATGGACTCTGTGGCCTAACGCCACCCATATGAGAGTTGCTGATGACGACGCGACTCAGCGGATTGGCGGGCATGTTCTTTGGCTGCTGCTGCGTCGGCGCCTGCGGCCGCATGCCGACCACAACGCCGGCCGGCAGCATCGAGTTAAGCAGCGGTTGCCCGGTCTGTGAAATACGTGATAGGATTAGTCAAATCATAAATTCAACATTGCATTATTGGGGTTCTATAGGCGGATTACAAAAGCTTTGATAGGTTTAAGTTATTGTTTTGATTTTTGTTTCACTACAACATGCAGCAGATCACGAGAGTCGCTCATTTCACGTATTGTCGTGGGTCTCAGTTCATTCGCTTACAGATCACAGTCAAACAAATGTGCACGGAAGTTGTGTGTGTTCTCAAAATACATTTTATAAATTGGTTTGGTATGAATGTCTAATAAAATGATGAGATGAAAATGAGGTATTAAGAAGTGTGCTGGCCAATTTGAAAGACGTCTACGAGTTGTACTAAAGCGACCGTTCAAAAGCATTTTGTTCACAGAGAAAATCTACAAAAATTATATCTTTTAATAAAAAGCATAGGTTAAGAAGCGGGAGGCAAGGAGATTTGGTATGACAGCGGGTAAAATATATTCGTTTGTTAAAGTTCATTTAAAATGGAAAGTAGGAATCATAATTTTGTAATAAATGAAGTGCAGAAAATAAGACGCTGTTTAACAACCAACCGATATGCATACAACAACCTTTTTCAGATACAGTGAACATTCAATATAGCGAGCTAAAAAAGCTTCGTTTTTTTAGAAAGTAAGATTTGACAATTATTTAAAATATGAATGCTTAATTAATTTATTACGGGCAGTTCAATATATCGAGAGTTCACTGTTACAGTTTTGTAAGGCACGCTAATCGTGTCGTCTAAATGGACAACAGAAGAAAGCAAAGTGAATACTGAAGAGTTTGGAGAGTGCGGATATGTATGTGTGTGTGGAACAGGAGTAACCATTGGACGCAGGCAGAGAGATGCGAACGGAATGGCGCCAGAACGCGGCGCACTACTATCATCGCCTCGATACAATACGAGTACGTTGTTGGGAGTTTAGCTTGATGGTGGATACCTGATTGATGGTCTTGGTCATTGTTACGATTCCTGCTGGTGCACTTGATACTAGACCCGCCGGCAGGGTGACAGCATGGTGATTGGATTTAATAACTAAGGTTTGTGTTTGGGTGGCACCTACTGATTGCGTTTGTTGCTGCTGATGCGACTGCTGATGCGACTGCTGATGCACCTGATGCTGCACTTGCGACAGACCCGGCACCCCATGTCCACCCATGCCCGCCGTGATGGTCTTGATCGTCGTCGTATTTGGCAGCTGTGCTGTTGAGATGATCGTCTGGCCAACACCCCCGCCCCCTGGGCCACCTATATTGATGGTGCCATTGGGCAGCGGCTGAGTTGTGAAGGTGATGCGATTGCTGTTGGCCGATGTGGCCGTTGGCGCCGTTTGGCTGCTATTCATTGCGTGGCGGTTCCTGTTCCGGTGGCGGTTTCGTTTTTTGAAGCGTTGGCGCTTGAAGAGCCGGAACTGGACACGGCCCCGTTCGGTTTCTCTTCTGCTTGTGACGTTCTTTAGCCGCCTGTTTTCTTGATCAACTGTGCATCTGTGGCATCATGTTGTTGTTGCTGTTGTTGTTGTTGTGGTTGTTACAGCTCTTGTTTATCACTCGCATGCTGCGTGGCCGTTTGATGCAAACTGCAAGGCAAATTTTTAGTCACTTTAGTATTTATAGCGGAATATCTACACATAATTGTTGTTTGTACACTCTCGCGGGGGCTGCAGCTGCTTCTACTACCTGGCTGTGGCACAGTTATATACCTGTGGGTCATAAAACTCAAATGCGTGGTTTTTTTTTCTTTTCCTTTCGCTTGCAACTGCCGCAGATGTTTACGAGACAAGGGGCGGTAGCGGGTGTGGGACGCAGGTGAAAGCCGACAAACGAGACGCTGCGATGCTAATTTAGCATAATTATATTCGTATTCACCTTGGCCAAAGCCTTTGGGTGCTCCGCTGACAAGCGAAACCGCAGCAAAACGCTCGCGCTCGCACTTGCACTCGCTTATTCACGCGGCTGCTGCTGCTGCGCTGGCGACGACGTTGACTCCTTGTCGCTAGCTGATTAATGTTACAATATTTGCTTTGGGTTAGCCAGAACGTTTTTCTTTTGTTGTATTTTCACACACACGCGCGCACGCGGCCTCTGGCATGGACAGTTTGCTTAGCACTGTATTTATTGTCGCTTTATTTTGATTATTTTGGATGTACAAAAAATTTGGCAGCGACCGAGCGACAACGCCGCCATTTTCACGAATGCGCGTGCAAAACGACAGTAAACGCGCAAGGGGCACAGACGTCGATAAAAGTGCGAGACAAAACGCAACGCTGAAAATTTTTGCTTCTGCCTCTAGATGTCGCTAGTAAAATGAGGCACTGCCAGCCTAAAACGGTGTACAGCTCATTTGAGGCGAGTAGAAACTGCGTGCAGCCAACTTCACTTGAGTGGAAAGTTGCGCGTAGCCAGCTTCACGCGAGTTACAATTTGCGCGCAGCCGACTTCACATAAGTTAAACAATTGTCATTCCCTGTCCTGGAATTCTCTCACGTTTTGCCGACGCATTTTTGTGCATCATTATTTGACCTACTGCATGTAGGCTTTAACAAATATAATATATGCGGGATGAATATTTAAGAAAAAAATGTAGTGCAACAAGCAATTGTTGCTAAGTAGGGCGCTCGATGACTGTCGCTATCTTCGGGCGGCTGGCTGGTGTTGGTGCTGGTACAGGCTGCAGTAGTTTTTCGAAATTTGTGGCTTATTTGACAAAGGCACTCACTTCAATTCATTTTGCATTTGAACTCGGTTCACTGGAGCGCATTTTAAACGTTAAACGTTACGTTTTTATTGCCGAAAATCAACAATTGAGTGTTTACGAACCGTCCACCGAAAGCAGATTAGTTTTTTCATGAGTGTGACCAGCTCTCGCAACGATTAAAATACGACATTAAAATGCAGGTCAAAATACTAAAACCTATTTTAATGGTAATGAAATATATATATTATTAAGAGATTTATTTTATTGCAGCTTTAATGATAGCAATATATATCAATTTAATTTTTTATATTAAGAATACAAGAACATAATAGGCTGGGATATCGATTCATAGAGGTTAATCGGTAATCAGCAGCCTCCACAAATTGAAAAAAGTGCTGTAAAAGATGAACAAGTGTAAGCGGGAATATTGTACAGCACTGTTTCGATTTAAAAATGGTTCTTATGACGTCATTATACAACTCAATGAAATTTAAAAAGCAAAACATTAGGTTGCTGAAAAAGAAAAATAATTAATTTAAATTAAACATAAAATGCACAATAATTTGATAACTTGCTATCTCACGCCATTCGCTGTTGTCGTGTGTATGCCTTTGTTGCTGTTTATGTTAACAAGGCTAACACCAGGCGAAAAACAAGTTAATGAAATTAATCAAAAACATCCACTTACTGTCGCGGCCGCTGCTGGCAGTATTAAGCTTGTCGTCAGGTCTTCGGACTGGTTGACTCTCCACTCTCCGCACTGAATTAAATTTGCGTATTTGTGTGTGGTTTATTTTTGTTTTATTATCTAAATCATAATTATGTGTCTTAAGATTAATAATTTATGAGTATTTTGTCAATATACAAACTAAACTAACCGCATTACACGCATATTTACAAGATTCCCTACCAATATACCCAAGCTTTAGTTAATGTTTCACCTTAGATCAATTTGGCTGTTGTTCGATTCTGGCCAAAATCGTAGGCATAAGCCGTTTTGGCTGCCGCTTTGACGCTGTTTTCCTTAAATTTGGCATAATACGGGCTGGCAGTGAATTTGCCTGGGTTGGACAAAGTGGACGTCGCGGTGGGCTTTGTGACAGTTGACGGCGACGTTCGAGTTGTGTCAAATGTTGCCTTAAATTTCGCAAAGAAGGGATGATCAAATGGATCCTTAGTCGATGCACTCCTTTCTGTCGTTGCGGGGCGACGAGTTGTTGTTGTCGAGGTAAATAGGTAGGGTCTGGGCGTTGTGGAAGTACTTAAGCGGGACGTGGAGAACTGAGGCCATCTGGTGGTGGTTGGGCGAGCTGTTGTAGTCGAGCGGGTTGTTGCCTTAGATGTGGTGGATGACTTTAAGCTGGGACGGGCTGTAGTTGTTGTTATTGGGTATCGTGTTGTTGAGAACCACGTTGATGTAAATGGACGCCAGGTGGTTGTAGAACGAGTTGTTGATCTCGTTGTTGTTGATTGTGTTGTGGCTCCTGTTGTGGAACGCGTTGTGGGTCTCGTTGTTGTTGATTGTGTTGTGGCTCTCGTTGTAGGGCGAGACGTGGGTCTCGGTGTTGTGGAGCGCGTGGTAGATCTCGTTGTTGTTGGCTGTGCTGTTGCTCTTGTTGTAGGACGAGTTGTGGGTCTCGCTGTTGTGGAACGCGTTGTCGTCGGTTGTGTTGTGGTTCGCGTTGAAGGTCGAGCTGTGGGTCTCGGTGTTGTGAAACGCGTTGTCGATATCGTTGTTGTCTGCTGTGTTGTTGCTCTCGGTGTCGGACGAGCTGTGGATCTGGCTGTTGTGGAAGGCGTGGTGGATCTCGTTGTAGGACGAGTCGTAGGCCTTGTTGTAGTGGGGCTTGTTGGGGTTCTCGTTGTGGGACCAGTTGTGACTCTAGTTGTTGTGTAACGAGTCGGAGGTCTGGCTGTGGTAGCTCGAGTCGTGGGTCTTGTAGTTGTATGACGAGTTGTCGATTTTGTAGTTGTTTGGCGAGTTGTGGATCTGGTTGTTGTTTGTCTTGTTAATATGGTACTTTGAGCTTTTGTTGTATGAATAGGTTTGCTTTCTATTGCATTTGTTTTTGTACGACGAGTTGTCGATATTAATAGAGGTGTTGTTATCGGTGTCCTAGTTATTGGCGCGCGAGTTGAAATTTTCGAAGTGAGGGGTGGCTTATTTATAGAAAATGGACGGATTGTTGTAAAGGGGCGAATGGTTGTAGTTGCTCGAGTTGTTGGTAGTTTGGTTGTAATTGCTGTTGGTTTTGGTGCTGGTGTTGTGTTGGTGCCTTGGGTAGATTGTGACGGGAGATCATGTGGCGATGTGGCCGTGAATTTATTGACCTCCTGACGAAAGCTGTCGCTGCTTATGTATGGATAATGCGTAACTTTAGCTGCCAATGTAGGCTTGGAAGTGGTGCTTGTTTTAGGCTGGCCGACCTCTGGCTTATTCGCTGAACTGAGAAAGGGATTAGGCACAAGGGCTGGACTGTGATTGGAGTGGGAGGTGGGTTTGTTTTGGTCAGTGGCTTGAATGGCATTAGCAGAAGGCTTATAAATAGGCTTCAGAAAAGGATTGTGATCGTAGCTAGACTTTGAAGCGTGCTCTTGATCAATAAACTTAATGGGGCGAGTCTCGGATGTGCCCAGTGAGGTTTGCTGCTGAGGCTTAAGTTGCTGCAGAAAGGGATTTGAACCAAAGGGATGATTAGGCACCACGGTTATTTGGACTGGTGGCCTAACAGTTGTTTTAATAGCTTGGATTGCCACTGGAGCTGTCTGCGATGCGCTTAGACGTTGCAGGAAAGGATTGGCCCCGTAGTCATGGTTAGCTGCAATCTTTATGACCGGTTGCTGTTGCGCAGCTTGCACCTGTGGTCGCTCCCCATAATGGTTGGGCTTCTCCGCCTCGGAAATTTCATTGCCTGCAAAGCAATCGCTCAACTGTGCCAGGCTTTGGCCCCGACAGTGTCCATTATACACCGTCCAGGCGTTGAAGCCGTCGCCCGATAGACGCGTGTGCTCCTCGTGTATGGTACGGATGCATTGGACATCATCCGAGATGTCAGAGTCCAGCAAACGATCGCATTCAATGTGACAGGCCTTGCCACCGCCCTCGCCGTGCGTGCACCAGTAGAGATCGCTGATCTGGAACAGTCCATGATCCTCGCTGCCATCGGCATTCAGGCGACCCACTGCAGCCGTGTTGTAGGAGGATTCATGCTGGGCAATGCACACCCAGGTGGGTATCTCCCGCATGGGCAGCTTGTGCTTGTAATAGAGCTCCTGCGCCAGCTCACAGCGATTGTATACCTTGCCCTTGGGCTTGGGTTTCCTCACCAGCTCGTTGCCTGCCGGCTTGGCCGGCTTAGCGGGTTCCTTTTCCAGTTCTTTCGACTCGAAGCAGCTGGCAATCTCCGCTCTGCTGCGATCCCTGCAATTACCATTGTACACTGTCCACGCAGTGAAGCCATCCCCCGAGATGCGTGTGTGCTCCTCGTGTATGGTGCGTATGCACTTGACATCATCCGAGATGTCGGAGTCCAGCAAACGATCGCACTCGATGTGACAGCCCTTGCCCCCGACGCCTTCGCCGTGCGTGCACCAGTAGAGATCACTGATCTGGAACAGACCGTGATCCGCGCTGCCGTCCGCGTTCAGCCGACCCACCGCCGCCGTATCCAGGCGGGATTCATGCTCCGCGATGCACACCCAAGTGGCTATATCCTGCATGGGAAACTTGTGTGAGAAATACAACTCTTGCGCCAATTCGCAGCGTTTATAAACTTTACCAGCTCGTGTAGGTGTTGTGTAAAAGTGTTGTGGTGTTTGTTGTTTGGGTGTTGTGTGGTGCTTGAAGCTGAGCAAAGGATTGGTAGCTGGCGTGCTGTAGACGCTCGCAAAGTGCGATTTTGTGGGTAATCCAATTAGATTGGGATGCGGCTGAACTTGAGGCTGGCGCGGGCGCAGGAAAGGATTGCCCTGAACGCTGGACGTCGCTTGATAGTTGGGCAACTTGTTGGAAGGCCTGTAGTAGGGATTGGGCGTCGTAGCAGATGGATAGGCATAGCTGAACTTGCCCACGCTGCCGCCAATGGCATTTGGATGTGTGGCCGGCGCGACCAGCGGTGGCTTGGCAAAGCAGGCGGCCACCTGCTCGTAGCGCTGGTTGCGACAGTCCCGATTGTAGACGGTCCAAGCGTTGAAGCCGTCGCCCGATATCTGTGTGTGCTCCTGGTGAATGCGCCGTATACACTGCACATCGTCCGCAATGCTGGAGTCCAGGAATTGTTGACAGCCGGCACGACAGCCCTTGCCGCCGCGCTGATCGTGCGTGCACCAGTACAGATCGCTGATCTGGAAAAGGCCGTGATCCGCGCTGCCATCGGCATTCAGGCGACCCACTGCCGCCGTGTTGTAGGAGGATTCGTGCTGGGCGATGCACACCCAGGTGGGTATCTGCTGCATGGGCAGCTTGTGCTGGTAGAACAGCTCCTGTGCGAGCTCACAGCGACTGTAGATCTTGCCCTGCGGCCGCACTGGAAGCAGCGTAGACTGATGATAGCTCACCTTGATCGGCTGCTGATAGGAGGCAGCCACGCGTACGGCGTTTGAGTTAGCAGTTTGTAGACCACAGCCTGCCACGTAGGAGGCCGCATCCTGGCGACAATACGCATTGTAGGCCTGCCAGGCGTTGAAGCCATCCCCCGAGATGCGCTGATGCTCCGCGTGGATCTTGCGCACGCACGCAACATCGTCCGCAATGTCATCGTCGCGCAGCCGGGCACAGTTCAGGCCACAGCCCGCGCCCTGTCCCGGCGGCGAGCACCAGTAGACGTCGCTGATCTGGAATATGCCGTGCGAGCCGCCGCCCGGTCCGCTGCCGCCGCCAAAGGCAGCCGTGTTCAAATCACTCGAGTGCTGCGCAATGCACACCAGGTTGGCCACCTGGACTGCTGGCAATCCGTACTGCTTCTGCAGCAGGGCGGCCAGTTCGCAGCGCTCAAAGATTCTCGCCAAGCTGAGCTGCAGCAGCATCAGGCAGAGGAGCACTGAGAATGGACGCGACACTGGCAACATCTTGCGATGCTCTGACACAGAACACAGCGCGACGCGGCCTATATATACTCTCTATATATGGAGAGAGAGAGAGAGAGAGAGAGGGAGAGAAAGGGAGAGAGAGAGACTGTCCTTAGCCAAACCGAACCGAACCGATACGAATTTGAATTTCAAATGATATTTCACTTTTTGGCTTTTCAGGGGGCGCTGCGTGCGTTCGCGCGTTTCGTCGTCGACTGATCGGGCCCGTGGCGGCGGGTCTCATCTTGAGCCCAAACGCAAAGCTGAGTTGGGGCGATTTGAATATATACACGTACATGACGACAGCGATGGCAAACTGGTTGTGGGGCACTCTGTGTATTGCATAATTATTGACCATGTCTATAGGAACAGATTGGAAAGGTTCTCTCAGACAGTTTGTCTAAAGGTGTCCACGTGCGAAAGAGCCCAAAAAAAGGCGGGAGGAGGGAGGAGGAGGGACGGTTAGATAACCGTAAAAGAAGATCGTTAGAGCTGCGAAAGGTGCTTTTTTTAGTTTTGGCCATTAGCTAGAAATTTGCTAATGAAATTAATTTCAATTATTTATTAGACAACAGCCACATTTAAGCGTTTCGATTTTATGAAACTGGTTGAGAACGCGCGACTTTTCGACGCGTTTTAAAACGCCCGCCACGCCACACACACGCCCAGCTGACACTCTGACGCTGTCGCGTTTGTTGCGGGGCTGTCACAGCAAATGACAGGCCCAGTAGCAGACCGTGCCCCTCCCCTCACCTGTGTGTGTCTCAATCGCATTGAAATCGAAGCAAACACCTTGGCGCTTTTGTTGTTTCCTCCAGCGATTTGTGTGTTTTTGTTTGCATATTGGACTTGGTCAATCCTCCTTCAGTCGCTCGTCGCTCGTTGCCCAAGCTCATCTCTTCTCATCTACAGGTTTCTTTTTCTTTATATTTTTTTTTCATGTTTCAGCAACTCTATTAAAAGCAACTCTGCCTTAATTTGCAGTTGCGCAGGGTGTTTAATGAACATATTTTTTTCGTCTTTCGTTAATTTTGTATTTTTACTGCCATTGATTGATTCACTAAATGAATAATTTATGTATTTCTTTGACACTCGCCATGCGTGCTGATCTTGAACTTGGGCTGGCTGCGGTCCAGCCATGGTTAATGGCTTTTAACTGTGTGAATTGGAGTCAACAGCTTGCGGTTGGAAGTGATTGTTAAATAAATTCAATTTCGTTAAAAGTTTCTAGGAAGAATCTAATTAAGTACGTCAAGAGCTTACATATTCCTAGAACTTCTATTAAAATTAAACAAATTAATTAACAGTTTTGTTTTGGTTTTTAGTTTAAACATAGTTTTTAGTACGCGCTAAATCACAATATAATAAAATCACATTTAAACAATAAATTATATACAAAAATTCGTGAACAATTCGTGTCGAGTGTTGTTACATCCATATTATAATATAATAATAACAATAATAGTAATATTTGTTTCTCTCTTTTCAATAATAATAAAATACCATCATTTCACATCCTCCTCCTCAGGCCACCTGCTTGACGGGCGCCTTTGCGGGCCGTCCCCTCTGGTATGTGTAATAGAGGAGGCTGAGAACTGCCACGCCCATGCCGCCGCACAGGCCCGCCCAGTGTACGATGTCCAGCGTTTTGAGCGTGTTGATGAGTTTCTTTTTGAAAAATTTCACCATCTCACCATTTAGTTGTATACCCTGTAAAAAGTTAGCTGTAGGGTATGCTCGATAGCTGTGTGAAAGAGTAGCTTTTTACTGACCTCCTCCACCCAAATGGCGGGCATCAGCACCGTCGTCAGATTCTCCGTGATGGAAATGCGATTTATACTCTTCAGAAACATATTGAACTGCACCCTCTTGCCACCCTGCAGCGGCGTGCCCGTCAACTGTATCATTATAATTCAATATTTAAGACATTAACTTTATTTTATTTTAAAACTTATTTTGGTGTCAAGGATCGCTCACCGTTTGCACGTCGACAAAGGTCTGGTGTTTCTTGGCATCTGGCTTGAGACCTCGTATCATTTTCCTGTACTCATTCGAGGCGCCCAGCATGTGAGGCAGCGTCAAGATGACGGGCGCATCTGTGATGGGAATAATTGCATTTATAAGTGTTATATGGTTTTAAGATTTGCATGATATTATAATTAAAATGCCGATGCAGTTGTTAAATATTGTTTACAAAACACAAAACAGGATTATTCGACCAGCTAGTCGTAAAAATATATTCGAATCACCTTTATATATTAATTTTACATTTTACAAGTAAAGTTCAATGGATCTGTAGGCCGACTCGGCAATAATAATTCTTTAGCACGGAAGTAATGTCTGCGTTTATTTATTATATTTAATATTTATTTATTTAGTATTAGCACTGGACCAATTTGTTGGAGAATTTCCTCATTTGGTGGGCATAGCAAATATCAAAGACAAATATTTCCAGCTGCTGATCATTATTGAAACTGTTTACTCACGTTTTGCCAATTAAAATGCGGCAAGAATCTCAAGTCTGAAACGTGCGGCGAGCTAACAAACACCCAAACAAAATAAGAAATAATAAAAATCATTTGGAATTTAATGCTTCAATTTGTAGAGCGGCACTCGAGAAGATCATAATGAGCCGATGAGCACTTCAGAAGCCATAAAACCAGCCGTCAACACTTTTCATTTCAAATGCGCAATACAAATTATCTTCGCTTGCTGCTGATTCTCCTTTTTTTATTCCCCCTGCAATTGCTTGTCTTGAAGTGTTAATTAAGAAATTAACAATAAATGCGAATGGGAATGGGTCAATAAACGACGCAACTATGGAATATCAGCAGCTAGAAAATGAACATTGAACTGTTTATACTCTTATTTGATAGTTAGCTTTCTGCTATAGTTATCTGATATTTTAACGAGAATTCGAAATTTAAGCTTTCTCGCAGTTTAGTGCATTTCAGTGCAACAGGCAAACAGTGCTGGATAACGACAGATCCTTGAATTTGTCCTGGAGCGAAGAGGAGACAAGGAATATGTCGTTTTTTTATACAAACAGATATTCTTGATATAGAATACAGATAAATTTCTTGGTGACTTCTCTGACTTCTGATTTGGAATGTATATATACATATACCGACTGGATAGAGCAATATCTTTCTCCACGCACTACACAGCTAATACCCTCATAAAGAGTATTCAAATAAAGATCAAACTCTGCCACGATCCACACAACTCTTCCAACTGAAGCTGCAATTTGTTGTAGATCTGCGTGCGCGTGCGCAACATTTGAGTTCCTTAGAAAAAACTTTAAATTGCCACTAAAGATGCTTTGAAAAGAATTTGTTATATGAAATTTTATTATTTTTCTCGAGCGCATAATTTAATTTGATGAGCCGCCTTTGCACCTTCGATTAGCATAGGTTTGTATTGGCATTAAATGAAGAGCTTGTTCAAATTTGCATTTGCTGTAGAAACCGAAACCCTAGAAGACAACTTTGATTTAGCACTATAAAATTTCTGCAGCTAAACGCATGTCACTTAAAGGGGAAGGGTGAGGGAGAGGGGGGGGGGAGAGAATTCTACAACGATTTGCATATGAAACATAATATGATTTCAAGAGCTAAACAAACACGTTAATTTTTTGATCGAGGCGTAAATAATCATGCTAAGCATTTCCGGATTTTCTGGAATTGCTTTTGCATATATTATATTGCTGGAATCCTGAACGTTATACATATTTTATTGGCAGTGTCTGCGTTATTGAAAGTCGTTATCTGTTGTTTAATTTTGGCTGTGACAAACGCGGCTAGCTAAGTATATGGCCAATTGAACAGTTTGCCGTGCCTGAGTCAACTGGTTTCTTCCACTCCGTTGGGGGAGTCTAATTAATGCCCATATTAATGGCCCTGGCAGTCGTTAGCATAACAAATAAAATACCTTAAAGAGCTGTCAAATGTTCACTTTATAAACATAAATAAGGTGTCAATTAAATTCAATCGGATTTATATAATCATAACTGATAGGAAAATCAATACAGAAGTCTACGCATGGGGTCGGATTAATGTGCATTAATTAAACATTTAAAATGAAACCTTAAACACAACTATTAAACGGTTAGTAGCTGTGCCTTTGTTTATATGTTTTACAAAAATGAGTAAGAGATTTAATCTAGAAGAATATTTGTTTCCGTAAATAACTCAATTAAAAGAGGCTCCGTTTTGACATATTTATCACAGTTAAAAGTTTTTTAAAGGTCATTTATTATTATGGAAACTTTTTACGTACAAAACTTGCGATTTCGGCAAGAATTTTGACGGAAAACTAAACAAGCCCTCAATTGGATAGGGATTCTAAATGAATGAAGCTTATATGCAGAATCAATTCAGAGCTTGATCTGTGCTGAAAGTTTAAAGTCTAGAAAGGACAGCTGAAGGTTCCACTCACCCAGACAGGTGGTCAGATCCAGAGCACCCGCATAGAGGCAACCATTTTTGCGCTTGATCACATTCGCCAGTTTGTCCACGCAGAAGCATTCGTTGTCGTGTTCGGGTCCAATGTCGTTGATGAAGTTCTCGCCGATGGAGTACCTGAAGCCAGGTATGCCCTGGTACTGTATGTCCGACTGATAGAAGAGCTGCACCGAGCGACAAATGTCCGCGCTGAAGATGTACATGGAGTCGCCGCGCTGGCGAAACGGTGGATACGAGGAGGCGTCGGTGCCGTTGATCTGGTTGCAGACAGAGGTCTCGCCCTCGGTGCTGCCATTGAGCCACACCTGTAGATTGTGCGAGTCGTCCAGTTTCTGGATCTCCAGCACCTTCGTGGCATCCCCCTTGCCCGTGTGCACCTCGTACACCTCGTGACCGGAGCCGTTTTTCTGAAAGACCAAAGCAACGATTGTGGCATGTGAGTGGAAATATTCTGTCTTTCTAATGGGCTACTCACGTGTCCAAAGAAGGAGAAGGCCAGGCTGCCATCGCTTTGCTCGCGTATGGTCTTGGAGCCGCTCTCCTTGATCTGATTGCAAATCGCCTTGGCGATGCCCTGGGGATTGATGCAGAAGCGCACCCCATCGAACAGGTACTCGCGCACCGAGGTGTGCACGAACATGGAGCGTGGATCGTTGAAGACGGCCTTCAGATTGGCATTCAGATGGACCAGCAGCAGGGCCAGACCCGGGTCGTTCTCGCTAATTTGCAGCACGGACTGTAACGAGAGCCGAATCAAGGACATTTTTGGATAAGTCAGTACGGGAATTGGGGGAGCTTGGCAACAGAAACCGGGCAGAGGCGGCAAGCATTAGTATAGGCGGTTGGGTAGGCGGCGCATAGAGGGGCGTGTCGGTTAGCCTTAGAGCTTGTGTTAAACCAAATTAGTAGGCAGTTTAAAAACTTATATGTACTATAATTAATTGCTTTAAATAATTGTTAGCATATAACTGATAAATGTAGTCGACTGACAGCCTATGCAATTTGAATTCAATTTATCAAAATATATTTACAACTGTGATTAGAATTTGAACCAAGGCTCATGCCAATCAATATGATTTGTGTGCTTGCGTACTTGAGTTTAATGAGCAAAATTGTAATTTTGTAATAATCAAAGGCATGCACATAGATACAACTGACAAGATTGTTCAACTTACTTTGACATCTTCAATAAGGCTGACTAAGATGCCGTTAACCCAGCTAAAGGGCGCTATAATTGTTGTAGTTAATACAAGTACATTCATTAGTTCCCATTAACAGCAGGTGACCTTTTAGCCGCCAGTTCTAACTAGCGGCTTAAAAGCCAAGGTTTGTTAGTATAGACGTATTATCTCCTCACTTATAGAGCTGGCAATAATTAATATACTCGGCACATTTTATTTGTTACTGACCTAACTCAAACTTTTAATTCGAGCTTTAGCAGGTCCAATTAATCAGATTAAAGGCTTAATTACTTTACGCATGTCTGGGGTGAAATCATAATTAATAGCTATAAAAGCTTTGAAATCGATACAGCCATATCGGCTGCCCATCATCGTAAGAACGATTACTTTGGCCCAAAACAATAGTTAAATTAAAAGCATGCGTCAGATTGTATCTTTTAATGGAACCATTACCAATTGGTAAACCGTACTTATATAGAAGTGTACATCACTTAAGCCCATAAAGGCTAGCAAGGCGATTCGGGTCAATGTTTAATTAGTTGACTCAATCAACCCGAAACCCAAACCAAATACCATAAATCCAAGCCAGGCAAACAACATTGACCAATGCCCATAAACAACATGCCTGGACAGGTCTATATGGCTTGTCCATCATTCCACTCCGTTACCATTATGAATATATATATATGTATATATCTGTATTTATGCTTGGCTTTATAGAATTAGTAGTGAATAAAATTACTTTACGTTTCCCTCGTATGCGCTCCATCAGACGCTTTAGAACTCGAACGCCGGGCGTGCGATTCAATCGCGAGTTCAATCTATTCGCAAAACCCTGTAAGATATCTGTGATTTCTCTTTCGAATACTTGCAAAAAGGCCTGTAAGATGTGTCAGAAGATATTAAGAATACAATCACAATATATGCATAATTATCTATCATATCGTATCAGATCATCTCGATATATCCCAATTATATATTCAATACTCACATTCATGTGCATATTGAGCGCCACAATGCGATCGCTTTGGGTATACGGCGCCGAGGCATCCTCGTCGAAGTCAAAGTGCACGTTCTGCACGTAGGTGATCTTCGAGCCGTCTCGCGAGAAATGCTTGACCTTCTTCTGCCGATATTGTCTGTGCAAATAGTTACACATTTAGCCAAGATATTGACGGTAAAGTACACTTAACTTACCTGTACACATATGGCCCGATTTCCTCGACAATGGGTATGGCGCCATTCTGTATCATATCGGGATTCGTGACATTGAATATATATACCTTGAAGATCAGCGGTTGGGGTAGGTTCACAAAGCGTTTGTATTGCTCCGAGCCATCGGCTATGATAACGCTCTAGAGGTGCGAAATCAGATGAATTATGATATTATAATTACATTTCATATATTTATCAACGAGTTGTCGACTCCTTTCTCAATTTATCGCCTGTCGACTTAGCCGCCAAATTATGATCGAAATGATGAATTACTGACCATAAAAATCGGATCAACGTCATCGACCCGAACCAGTTTTTTTTTTCCCCCTCTCATTATATTTAACAGAAAACAAATACTGTGTCAACAAGGCAATGCATTTCGGTTTTTTAATTATTTATTTAATCAACGTATAAACATTCTTTTCGATTTTTTAAGACGCATTTACATTTGAATTTTTTATCAGAGTGCAATGACCGCAATTCCTAACAGAAAAACAATTTTGTTTATTAGATTATTCGAGACGATATTTGAGGCGCCTAAAAAATGCCTAACTGCCAATATTATGCGGCAATTTGTATGTCAACTTGTGACCCTGTGAACAAGTTAACACTCAAAAACTAAAAGGTGGGCGCCTTGACTAGAAGCCTCCACAAATATTTACGATTCCCCCCCCGTTAAGGTAAATACATGATCAAAATTGGCAAAACTAAAAGACTGAAAAGCCGAAAAACATGACCAGCAATATAATTTTATAGTGCCACGTACATGGTATATATACTACTATTGCCAAGTACATGATACAATTGAGGAATTGTCAAAAGATCTTCGAAAACCATCAAAATAACCACAACGATTTCAAGGTCAATGCACACACTAACACACACACACACGCACACAGCGCAGCCGGCGATGCGGCGACTGCGCAGTCGGCATATGAAAAGAGCATACAAAACGTTTGATTAACCTTAAGAGCTGCTAAGCGAAGAGAAGAGAGCCGAAGACCAGACACAACAACAACAACAACAACAATAAGAGCAACAACCAATCGCAGAGACGCATTGACACTGGCCCAAAATTCAGTCAGCAGCCAAACAAGATAATAATAATAAAAAAACAAAATAAGAAAAACAAAAAAAATTAAACAAAATAATTATTGCGAAATTGACCAATTTTAACAATTTGACTACAACAACAACAACGGCAAATCAAAGTCAAAGCAAGCGCCAAAACGTGACTGAAATAAGAAAAAAAAAACAAACCTTTTCGTATGCAAATGCTGAGATGAAGCGCGTCTCAGCGGGTTCATCGGTTCATCGGTTCAGCTGGACAGAATGTGCCCAGTCGCTGGGGTCAATGCGGCGTATGCGTAATATTTATGTGCGGTAACTTTCTAGAAAACTGACGCGTTAATCGCTTGGCATTGCCTGCTGTTGGCCCAATTGCACAATCGTTTGGCCATCAATTGCTTTGAATTTCAATTGGTTTTTTATTTTTATGTTTTTTTATTTGCATTTTGAATTACAATTAGAAATGGCTTAAAGGCTGCCTTCAACTTGAAGGCGACACATTTGGCTAGCGGCAACCTTTAACATTAACTTGACTTTTTTTTTGGCCATTCTAGATTGCAACTGAAAGATATGCGACACACGGAACCGCGTACAATGGGTCATAAAACACACAAAACATAAGTTGACCTCACCCATGGGCGCTAGCCGGCAAGGTTTTTCAACTGGAAACAAAAAAAACGCATGACAACCCTAAAAGCACAATTAATGCGACTTGTGGCCACCATGGGCAGGGCCAGGGCAGGGCAATTAAAAAGCGCTGCGGCACATTCTAATTACAATAAACAACCTCAGCCTCAGATCTGGCACTGAGTCAGTGCATAAAGCACATGCCTTGAGAATCCAAAGAAGATGTCACATTTAAAGCCAACTTCAAGTATTTAGCCATATAAAAAAATGACTACAGTTTAGGCCTAGAATTCGGGTGTTAAAACATAAAACAGTTTGTTGTGTTATTAGGTATAAGATATAGCCATAAACTACACAGAGCGAAAAAGGGCGGGCTTATGACAAGACTTTTCGTACTTGATACTATACCAAAAAGTTCGTAAGGTTTTGAGCCCGAATCGAGCTACAAATCCTGAGTTAAGTATAATTCGTACTTTATTTCAGATAAGCTCTTAGGGGTCTTGGAATAAGTAATATTTATTCTTTAATCAAGTCCAAAAAAGTTATTTTAAGTAGTATAAGTACTTAATTTAAACATAAAAGAACAAGAAGAATATAAATTGATTCAATACTATTCCGTTCTTAACTTTTTTTGGGTGAAAAACGTAACAAACAAAGCTTGATTCAAGTATTTTCGTACTTGAAAAGTCATACTTGAAATAAGAATTTCATACTTGAATCATGTTTTACCGGTCTTGCCGTACATTTATGACTGAGTTCAAGTATAAATTCTTGATTTTTTCTCTTTGTGTATTAATGTAATTACTTGAATAACATGGAACTCTATGGAATCCAAATTCCATACACTAAGGATGGGTAACCCCAGGATTGCATTTGTCTAAAATTGTATTTATTTATACATGAAATTCATTTGTTTTTAGCGTGCGGAGTGAGTGCAATTGTCAGACATCGAATACATCTGATAGTTGCATATAAATATATAGTTACATATAGATTGGTATCTGGCATGTTTTGGCCAGTAAATTGATGGGCCCACACGCTGCACTCGTTAACGGGGCTTACTCCATAAAATGGGGCATGTTCTGCAGCGTCATTCGTGGCGATAATGAAGCGCTGTCGTAACTATGTAGATCGGCGCGATGTTTTGCAACTGTCTGGGGGCTATAATAATGAGTTGTGGGGCTGCCTTTTAAATGTAATAGCTTCATGTTCTTTTGAAGGTCAGCTTTTACGCTGACAGCCGGCATGTTTAAAGTGCATTAAGTGACAAAATCTTAAAGCATTCTGAATGAGCTAGGCAAAGTCAAATTTGACTAAGAATTTTAATGGATTTTGTGGAGCGGACGCTTGTTTCACAATTACTTTTAAAGAATGTTGCAGAGAATAGTTATTATAACAATACTATAGGGGTACTATACCAATAGAGTTATTGAGTTAATCGGAAAAGAAGCTCAATTTGTGTCATGAGCATCCTGGGCCCAGCGAATATGTTACATAAGATATTTTATAAGATTGTAAAATGTTGATCAAATGAATAAAAAAAAGAAAGAAGGGCCATATGCGGCAAGGTTTTTTATCCTTGTAGAAATAAAGCTTACGACTTTGCAAATATGTGAACAAGAAATCGTGGAAAAGAGAATACTTTGCACATTAAAACTCATTTTACTATTATGAGCTGTTAATGCTGATCAAGAATATATATAGTACTTCATGGAGTCAGAGAAGACTCTTTCTGTGTAACACATTAAAAATTGATAATACTTGATTATTTTTTTCCTATTTACTGACTTCTATTCCGAACAATTCCTGCGATCTTTGCCGTTTGTATAATGTATAAAGTTTATTTTAGCTGTGCGCAATATAAATTAATCACAGCTGCCAAGCAAACGTTACTTTGGCTCTGACTGGGCCCTGACTAAGTAAACTAACAATAGAGAGCTTTTGAGAAATTCTCAAAATCAAGTCTGGGCTTGTTAGCTCAAGTATTTGCTTATTAGAATACACAAAATGTCAAAAAAAAAATTGTAGCTATGGTATACTGAAGAAGAGATACCCTAACAATTCGGCGCACGCAAGACTGAAAGCCGGGCTTGAACCAAACTGGATTCTAATTTAACTTTAACTATCAAAAAAGTTGTCCAAGACCCAAATCGAAGCATACGTTTTATAAGAGAGAAGACAAACATTGAGTTAAGATAACTTTTGTTTCAGTACATCGGGGAATTGTAAATTAAAAATTGAGTTGTTTCATTAAAAATGTGAAAGTACATACAAAATCAAGGCTTAAGCCGAAAACCAGCTTCTTGAACCGAATCGACAATTTGGTTAATTTTTGCAGCCCTTTTCAAAAATACGTTCGCATAACTATACTATCTTATACGCTACTCCCTTACTTCAATGCATTAGGCAATACTCTCCAAAACTCTACTAACCAATGTTAGGGTATACACAGTGAATAAATATATTTGACTGTCTAATTCCAAAGAGTCAGGCGCTTTGTCTGTTTTTTTTTTACCGAGAGAAATTGTGGCTTAAAGCTGTGAATATTTGAGAAAACATTGTGAGGCAATGAATCAGCTTGAAATTAGCAGATAGATAAGTATCTTAAAGATACACAGAACCTTTAACAATTACTGCACTGTTCAAGTTCTAACAAGTATTCAAACTGAGCTCGGCTAGTTGTTGGGGCGTATCTGTTGTGACTCACCTGTTCGACCTTTTTGTGTATCATGATGGGGAACAGCGACCAGCCGCAGTAGGCTCCCAGCACGGCAACGATGACGCCCAGTGCGCTGACAATCAGTGACCAGTGCAGCATATTGCAGTTCCAATAATCTAAGACCAATCTATGAGCAGAGAGCAGCCGGCACCATGGGCCAACTAATTAGCCGAGAGCGGGGGGAGTGGGGGTAAGGGCTAGCGACAGCTGTTTAATAAACGTCTCTTGCCGGCAGCTCAATCAGAGCATAGTTTAAGAGATTTATGTATTGGATTGGACTCTCGGAGTTGCCTGACCTACGCCAAGACAGCAGCTGCCACTTGTTGTTGTTGGTTTGGTCGTTTGTGGCTGTTGATGGTCGCCAGCGTCGGGTGCCGAAACAAAGCACACTATTTATAAGATATATACGCGCTTTCAGGTTTTGCCTCTTTGTTATATATACACCTTTATTTTGAAATAAACAAGTTGTTGAATGCGCTGCTCTGCGATGCGTTGGGTTAGTTTTGGTTTGGTTTGGTTTAGTTTTTCTGTTTGCTTTGCTTTTCCTCTCTGTCTGTGCGCTATATGTACTCATACATATATAAGAAGTATTGTAATTTATAATGTCTTTTATTTTTTGCTGCTTTTTATTTTTTTTTTTTTTTGACGTAGTAAAAGTGCCAAAAAAAAAACTAGTTTTGCGCCGCGTCGCTTGTTAGGTGAAAGCTTTTTTTCTGTGCTTTAAATAATTTTGAAAATAATTTTTGATAATTTTTTTTGGCTTATTTATTTGGGTCAACACTTTGACGCGCCGAAGCTCATCCACAAACTGACAGCACAGGATAATAGCGGCACATATTTATTTGTTCACACATACACACACACGCACACGCTCGCAAAGCAAAAGTAACGTTTGTGAAGTTCAGATTGTATCTGGTGCCAGGAAAGTAACAGGGTGTTCGCGGTTTGAGCGCTCTGCCGTGCCAAAGGCAGCGATAAAATCGCCGCACATTTATTTAACGGGCGCACGCGAATGGATGAGGTCGAGCGTTGAGAATTGAGGATTGAGAATTGAGACTGGGCAAATAAAATTTTCACTTTGCAATTGAATTGTTTTGCCGTTAATGACCGGGTTTTTCGGTAATTCGGACTCGTAGATCGTAGCGCGCTGCCGACGCGCCGCATGGAACAACCGTAAACGACTGCCAAAGTTCAAGTCAAGCTCTGAGCGATGCGGCGTCCACTGCGACGCTGAGCTTGTGAGCCGTGAGTGCCCCTCGGCCAGCGATCAGTCTGCATAGGTAGTCGCCCTATACGTATATTTATGTGCTGAGAGAGAGGGCGAAAGAGAGAGAGAGAGAGAGAGAGAGCGACGCATTGACAGCTCAAAGAGCTTGTGCGAGGGCTAACTGACCTGAGTCCCGGGTCTTTAATGATGCTGCAAGTTGTTGTTGAGTTGTTGAGTTGTCGAGTTGTTGCCATTGTTGTTATTGTTGTTGTAGCTGCTGATGAGCAAGACGTTGTTTTTGTGTAATTTGGTTATAAAAATTATGGGCGGCCCATTAGCAAATTAGTGCAACTATTTTTTGTATTTTAATTTTTTATGCATATTTAAGCTTTGAAGTTTAGTTTATAATTGCCTTTATTAACATAGAGTTAAGCAAGGCTCGGAGAGCGTGATTTACTAAAATAAATACTTTCATATTTAAGCAAAACAATTAAAAATGTTTATCCTTATCTTGCGCTTAGTTTTAAGGTCAGCTCTTCAACATTCTCTCCCTCTGCCTGAACTGACCTGCACAAGAGCCAACTCCATTTAAGGTGCTGCCAACTTACTTTTATTTATTTTTTTTTGTCTTTGGCCCGCTTACGCTCTTGCGCTCCCTCTTGAGTCTCCTCTCTTCAACCGCCGCGTGGGTGCACTTGACGAGAGCCCAAAAAAATACCAAACGCATTAACAGGTTTTTTTTTTTGGTTTTGTGCGTGCCATGAATTTTATATATAATAAATTTACAACAACAACAAGCGGGCGCAGCTTTTGTTGAACTTGACACGATTGTTGTTGTTGCTATTATGTTGTTGTGAATTTACAGTTGTTGTTGTTAATAATATAAATTGCTTTTCGTTTGCGCTGTGTTGTTGCTGTCGTTGTTGTTGTCGTTGTTGTTGCCATAGTTGTTGTGCAAAAATGTAAGGCTTTAAATATTAAACAAATGCAAAACGCAGCGCTAATTAAAGTTAAACCAACGGGAGATGCGAAAAGTAAATGTGAAGCGAAATGAAATGAATAACATGACAAATGAATAGTTTGGGGAGTGTGGGGTGTGTGGTGTGGGGTGTAGGGAGTGGGGTGTTGGGTGTGGGGTGTTGGGTGTGGGGTGTGTAACAAATGAAAATGAAAAGCGCTCAACATCAACCACAACTGTTACTTGTGCAAAAATGATTTATAATTATGCATATCATAACATTACATTTAATTTGCTGTGTCAAATTTGTTGTTGTTTTTGAGTTAATAGCCAATACTAGTATATATAATGACATATGTGCCACGCCCACATAATTACAAAAATATATCAACACACAATATATACCATTCATAGCATATAAGAGTACATAAGTACTTAGAAATTAAACATAAGCGCATAAACGCGCCCATTTTAAACACACAGCCTGGTGACAACATCGACATTTATCAAGATCGGGATGTTCCCCTCTGGTAGACATAAAAAAATCACCCCACTGTCAATGTTCCCATCGGATCACTACCTCACTCATAATTTCTGACTCAAACTTCACTCAATTTTGACAAATTTGAGTGAGATCATATGTTAAACAAAAAAAGTGTCATACAAACGTATTTCGCGAATTCTCCACAGCTGCGGGTGGAATCCCCTAAAACCCGACTTAACGTACACCTCCACCACGAAAGGCAACTACGGTAAAAATTGTGGACTTTACCTTGATCAAGATAGTTTAGATATAGATACAGATATAGATGTATAAACGGATGTATATTTAGTTTATTTTAATTTAATTGTTAAGCCATTAATATTTTAATCAGAATTTCAATTTATAAATAAAATTTAATAATATTATTTGGCAATCCTTTTACACTTATCTTTTTAATTGTTTAATTATTCTTTATTTTTTTTAGTTTATGAATTCCAAATTATAATAAAATTTCATTTTTGGGAAGCAATAAAAATGTTTAATTTTCCCTGTTTTTGCCACTCATTTTCTATCATTTTCTTTTAGCTCCTTTTTAGGTGTTCCCTCATTATATGCTGCCACCCCCTTGCGCCCATTCTTGCAGACTTGAGAGTGTTTTGTGTTAATTATTTTGTAGCATTATCCACAGTTAGCCTAGTTTTGAAGGGCCCTGAACCCAGTTTCTTATTTGCGTGCAGCTCGCTGATATCGTAATTTAAATATTTATTGCATTTTTTATGCCTCGCTTGCCACTTGACTACCAAGCAAAAGCAACCAGCACATCCTCACTAATACACACACACAAACAAACACACACACACACACACACACACACACACAGTGTGTCCCCCTTTTGTGTGACCTACAAATTAAATTCAAATCTTGTGTAAATACCGAAGGCAAAGAAACAGTTTGTGTTCCACAAATTGATTGCATGTGTCCTGGACGGCTTGCAAGAAAGAAAAGAAAAATGTGAGAATCTGCGGCATTTGATAAAATGATGTATGAAATTTCACACGAGAGGAGACTGGCTGTCAGGCCGACATAATAAAAAACAATCAAATATAAATCGGCGGCACGCCATGCAAGCATGTACTATATATTCTCATCGATGGCGTGCGACGGCAATTCCAATTTATAGATAATTCGATACGAACTGTCAGTCAGTCAGTCGATCAGTCAATCAGTCAGTCAGTCAGTCAGTCAGCCAGTCAGCCAGTCAGCCAGTCAGTTATTCGGTGACTCAAAGTGCTGCCAACTAGCACAAGGACATCGGAGGCGTAACTTTGTTTATGCGCGATTCGGAATGCATTTCTAATGTGTATTATGCTTGCAACTGCAATTTGCTAGCAATTGCCATAAATATTTCAAGTCATGAACTCAGGTGGTGGGTGGGTGCGTGCCCCCAAATAGAATACAACAAAGCTGCAAATGCAATTAAATGGATTAAACGACAGCCAAAGGTAGCGAGCCCCAAATGAGGCCAACGCGGCGTATGAGCAATACGAGCCGCTGTCTCTCGCAGGTGTGCTCACGTGTGTGTGTGTGTGTATGTTGCAGGGCGTGCCCGCCACTTCATAGAACAATGCCAGCAGCCTGTGGCAGTCACAACATGTACTTGCGCCCTGCCCCTGCCCCGTCCGCCCATCAACAGCCTGTCATTGTCTAGGGGCAGGGCACTCCAAGGTGCATGGACATCAGTCGTGGCCAAAGCGGGCGAACGTCCGATTGATGAGCAGCCCGCTCAGCTGCCCGGCCCGGCCTGCTAGCGAAATCTATGTCATATAGAGTGTTAAAAGATTTATGTCCGTCTCTAATCCTGCCTCCTATGCCCTCTGCTTGACTGTCTCTCCATCCCGTCTAGTGCTCTCAATAAGTGGCACAAACGACTGACGCTCACCGCAGGCTTAAGTGTCTTCAACTGCCAGACATCCCATGTGTGTGTGTCTCTGTATGTGTGTGTGTGTGCTATAGTTTTTCATTTCGCATTTCCTACTGATTGTTGTTGTTATTGTGGCTGATGTGTGCCCTGCAGCAAAGCTATTCTGCATAATTGCCAGGCCCGTCTCGTTGAATGTTTTGCCGTTTGACCCCATAAGAGTAGCTCTCACAGAGCACTGCTCCTGAGCTGAGCCAATTGGTTGGGATTTGTTTCGGATTTGTGTAGCTGATGTTGGCCATGAATAATGTACACACTTTGTGAGCTAAGACGAGGTTATTGCCTATCCAAATGAATTCTGAGCGCAGGAAGAAAAACAATTAATATTAAAGTGGTTTTTGGCGATAATTTAGAGTTGGTGCAAGATGGAGATTCTGTTTCAAGCCAGAAATTATAATCTATTCTTGCCTTTAAGCTGAACCCTTAACTTAACTAAACTATGAATAATCCAACTATTCATCTAAACATTTTTGATAGATGCAAGTGTTGGGTATAAATCAAATATAGCCCGCATCTTGTATACAAAAATATGTACGACTTGGCATATTTTCGGTACAACGGGCAAATGTAAATTTAAAATTGGTTTGCTTTATTAAAGTGTAGCAATTTTGCTATAATGCAAGGCTTGAACCAAGAAATTTGGTTTTAGGGATGGGAAAAAACAGCTACAGGCGAGCCCCAAGGTAGAAAGTCGGTTTGGAATATCAACAGTATCCATTTTCTTGGCTTTGCAGCCCAGATTCAGAATAGACTTAGCTTGTTCCAAAAAGTGACAGAAGTTGCAACAGCTTTAAAAGTTTCTTATTGCTCCCTTGGGCACATTAAATGAATTTATTTCAGTATTTAGGAACTTGCTCTTAAGTTGCCTTAAAGATTGCGCCAGGTGCAGCACTATTCACATTTCTATAGGCTTTCCAGTTCGTAGTTAAAGCCTTTGTCGACAAATTGCGCAGTTTCGTCTAATCAGTGGACTGCACAAATCGGCAGTTGGCTCGGCAACAGAATTCAATTGAATTTGCCAACAAATTGCACTTAACGTCAGCGTTCGCTACCTGCACAATAATTCCATAAAATGAATTACTGCGCATTAAGATAACGCACACAGAAACACAGCATCACACACACACACACACACACACACACACACACATACGTACACAGATGCTGTACACAGTCGCAATGGCAGTCGTTGTCCTTCGAAGCAGACAACCCAGGGACGCGCTGCAGCCTGCAATGCTGGAGGCCAGATGCCAAGAATAAGCAAAAAAAAAACAGGCTGAACTAAAAGTAATGACAATAAGGCGCGAAAAGCGCGCTCGGAAAATCCCAGCAGCGTATTCAAGGCAATCCAAAACCAAGCCCCAAACCGCGCGCTATGCGGGCGTATAGACCATAATAACACGCATACGCCGCGTTGTACGTGCAAAATCAAAACATAAACCAAGCGTAGCCCCAAATCTAGTAGCTGCACTGGCTTGTGCGGCATTTGAATGTGTGCGTATGTGTGTGTGTGCGTGTGTGTGTGTGTGTGTAGAGGGTGGGCTTTGGGTTGGGGTTGTTTTTATTTGGGTTTTTCGCTGCACTTCGTGTCAAGCTCGTGAACGGCATTTCGCGAGCGCGTGACCAGCTGCCGAGTGTGAGAGAGTGCAATAGAGAGAGTCAGAGAGAGAGAGAACGCGAGCGAGTGAGCGAGAGCCAACCGAAGGAGTTTCCCTACATGCTGATGATGACGATGATGATGATGTTGTAGCAACATAATCGCACTTCGTGCAGCGCTGGTAAATTGCATTTGCGTTTCGTGAATTCAGTTTTCAGTTCTGTTTCAGTTTCGAGTCCGTGCAGGTGCCTGCGAGCGAAGCCAGCGCCAGTGAGCCAGAGCCAGAGCCAGTGCCTCGGCCGAGTGCAGAAGTTTAGCCAAGCCAAGTAAAAGCAAACAAGTGCAGTTTGTCGACGTATGTATGTATGTAGATGTACATGTGTGCATGTGTGTGTATATGTGTATATGCCCCCGCCGTAGCATAGATACAGAGATACCTACACATTTTCAACGCCAGCCGCCTGAAAAGTGAAAACAAACCAGGACAGTGCAAAACTAAACTCGAGTAAAAAATAAAAGAAATTTTAGAATATTGAGAGCTGCAAGTTCTTGAAATTCTCGGGTAATTCCCTGGCATAGTTTTTGAGCAAAATACGACGCACAATCTGCAAGGATACAATGTCGACGCTGCCGTTCCTGTTGAGCGTTGCCGACGAGCTGGACAACATCCATACACAATCGTATCTGGATGACTTTGGTCTGGGCTTCCATCCGCATCGGCAATATTATCGCACGCCAACCATACAGCTCTCGCTGCCGGCCAGCACAGACTGGACTGGACGCACGGATTGGCAGGGACGACATGCGCGCTTTCGCAGCTACAAGTTCTACGATGATTCGCAGAACAATCTCGAGGAGGAGCAGGAGCAGGACCAGGACCAGGAGGCGGAGCAGCAGCAGCAGAACCTGCAGCACGAGTTGCAACTGGAACATCGGGAGCACCATCAGCAGAAGCAGCAGCAGCCGCATCAACAACAACAACAGCAGCAACAACAACAACAACAAGCTCTCACTGCCAACATGGTCAAGTCGAACTCACATGATGTGGGCGTAGGTGGGCTGGGTCTGAATCTGAAGGCCGGTGAGGAGGAGGATGACGAGAACATCGATCGCACTGTGCGCATGTATAATCTGTCCAAGAAGTGCTGCAAGAATTACTATCGCCATGCCCTCGAGATGGATGGACTCGGCGCCAGTGGCCGGAGCAAGTGCAGCAATGCCCGTGCCGAGTGCCATTATTCTGGCTCCAGTTCGGAGGAGAGCCTGCAGAAGGTGCCATCACCCATAGAGTTTCTCACCTGTTTTCTGGTGAAGAAGACGCGTGCGCCCAAATGCTCGAAACATGCCACAGCTGCCGGCCGTGCGGCAGTTGGGCACCTCAAGAAGACATAGAACGCAGCCGCGTTGCTGCCAGCAGCAACGGCGACACCAACAACAACAATAATAACAACAACAACAACAGGAACAACAACAACGGCATCCGGCTCGATGACATCGACGTCGGCGTCGAAGCGTCGGAGCAACTGCTTCTGAATGTTGGCCAGAGTCGGTGTGCTCTGCGGCCAGGCCTGGAGCTGGCTGCAGCGTTGCGGCGAGCTGCCCAGCTCGGAGCCAACGACGTTGCCTGCAACGCGTCTGGGACGCATTACCTATTAGGCGTCTCAATTGCAGGGGGCGTGGCACACACGACTCACACACACACATACACATACACGCGCACACAACAATTAGCATTGAAATTGTTTTAAAGTGCACACAAAAGGCTGGCGGCTCCGTGCACAGGAATTTGCATAAGGATTCGTGCTGCGGCTTTTTTTTATAGCCAAGGGACAAAGGCCAAAATAAACACAACAACAACAAAATAGAAAGCCGCTTCGATTTGAACCACAAACACACACACACACACCGAAATTGTTTTTTGAAATTCTTAATAATCGAGAGTACACACAACAATTTTGAAAGCCACAGATTTTTACCGAAAAATAACGAGAATTTGTTAAGCAAACGTTTTTTATACGAATTTTTTGATACCTAAAAAGTGAAACAAACAGAATACTATTTATATATACTTATATATTATATAATATACATATTATACATATTGTACTTGAAAAACAAAAAACAAAAACGGGCAAATTTAAGGCACATCCAAAACAACAACAACAACAAACACACACAGCTTAAAGCAACTCACACACACTCACACACACACACACACGAAAAGTTTCTCTTTTTTTTTTTTGGGGTAAAAACAAAAAAGTTTTTTTTATAGCTCAGCAAATGAAGAACTAACAAAAATTGCAGAAACTACCGACAATGTCGGCAAGTGTTGGACTGGGTTAAGGTTCAGGCTATGAAAAGTGAAACATGTTACAACAAGAAGAAGAAGAAGCACTAAGGACATTTAGAAAGACCTTGTGCCACATGCGGCAATTTACAGATGGTTTTTGATTTGATCTATGCCCAACGTAATATTTCCGTGTTCTTAACGTATTCTAAATGTTGAAGAAGAAAAATCAAAATAACAAAAAATACAACACAACCAAAAGGAAACAATATAGTTAAATTTTATATATATACAACAACAAAGAGAAAATACATAATTGTAGCTGTTTGCACTTTCAGAGTTTAGTATGAATTAGAACTACAAATATGATATATATATATCACACTCGGTATTATATGTAGTTATACTTATATAACATATGCTCGTTCGATCCTTTAGTAAAGAACACACATGGATTTACATAAACTGTACACGACATGTGGATTATAGTTACATACAAACATATTCGGCGCATTCGAAAGGGAAATTTCGATTTGAAATTCCTTGTGGAATGCGGCCATTTACTGCTAATTGTTACTTGATGTCAATCATAATCGATATAGTTAACTTAAGAGCTCTCTCCCAAAACATGACAAAGTAGCAAAAACTGTTGAACTCTAATCACAAAACACATTCATATCTATTATAGAGCCGACTGGCTCCATTATTAGCGTTAATTTGTAAATCATCTTCTTCTAAGCACTTTACAAACTCGTAAACGACATACTTTAGCAACGCAAGGCATATCATATGGAAAACTTCAGCTAAATCGAATACATATTTAACTTGAAATTTAATAAATGAATGTGTAACGAATACAACTGCAGCTCTTTTCTCTCTCACTATTTTTGAATCTTGTTAAGCTTAAAGATTTGCGCATTTGGCCTTGAGCGCAGACAAGGACATGTGGCGTGTCCTTCATGCCATAAACGAAAGCTTGACACTCGCATTAATTTGCCACGCGGACACTCTAAAGAAATTACCAACAGTCAAACTCAAAAATTTCAAGTGCAACAAAGTAATGGAAGACAAAATTGTGACCTTTGCTAAAAAGGACGACGACAAGCAAACGGCATGTCCTTTCGCCTCCTTTCGCATGCATATGAGCTAAACTCCGGCTGCTGCTGCTGCGGCGGCTATCCTGGCCCTGGACATACCAAGGATCCGACGTCAGCAATTTGTTTTTGTTTTTGGAATTTCAAATGAGCTGCAGTGACAGCGTCGCTGCGACACGACCTCCGACCTCCGACCTCCTGTCAAGCCTTCAGACAGCGCGCATCAAAGAGCGCATCGCACACCACCTTATTGTGCCACCTGCACCACATTCACTTTCCATTTCAGCGGCTCGCTTCTTTCTATTGGGTTCAATAGCACAACACGAAAATAGACTAATGTTGCATGTGGCACCCCTTTCCGCAACCCCCTGGGCTGGGCTTATAAATAAAACTCTGTTTCTTTTCGTATGCAAACAAGTGCAAGCACATTGTGGGCGTGGCGGGGGCACCGGAATGGACAAAGGAAGTGTATTTCTTCTGTTATACCCTGTACGCATTAAGCGAGCACAGTGAGGGCATGATCGAACGTTAAGTTGACTTGGCTGTGTTTGTCTCTCAAATGACCCAAATGTTGTATGCTTATTCTTGCGTATCTAGAACCGTTCAAGATTGTAATACATTTTCCATTCAACTTTTTCTGTGTCCATTTCATTCGACTGCGCCTCTCGGTATTCGCAGCTCAAGCTATCTGTTTGCAGAGTATCTGCCAGTCGAGCACTCTCAACTACAACAAAGTTGTTTGTGATTTTTGTCTTCCCAAAACAGAACTGAAACTTTGTACGTGCTGGCTCTACTCGTGTCTCTGGTTACTCGACGTTGTTGCTGCGGCCCGTGCTGCGCCTTTTCTTCAAAGGAGACAAGGGGGGTTGGCGAGTCAGAGACGTGGTGTTGGGGCGCGCGATGGTGCTCGCTCGCACGGCCAATTACGGTTTAAGTTGGGCCGTGCCGGCCCGTCTCCAACTTGGGCAATGGCACCGCATTGCAGTGGCAGCTGTGGCAGCCTGTGACGCGCTGCTCCTGGGTTCGCCTGCACCACTCACAAAAAAATGCTTGCCCTTTTGTGGTTGACTACCTTGGCGACTGCTTGGCCGCAATTTATTGGTGCACCCAATTTGCCAGCGACTGCAACGCAACAGACCTCGCTTGAGTCTTGACTTACGTCCTTTAAACTCTGCTCCCCTTCGGCTGGTGCAATGCCCTGCTTGTTTGTGGGTCCATCACTCTAAATGCTTTGATTGATTTGCCACGCCCATTACGAGTTCTCTATTTCATCAGTTTAAAATTCGCTGCGCAGTTTATTGATTCGCTGTAATTAGTTTGACACGAATTTAGTTCGGCAATTTCATTAAGTATACGCGAACGCACGCGTAATTACGTATACGTAATTTGTGAAGCTTTACAATATTTTTTGTAGCATACTTTCAGGCTTCCGCATAAAATTTATTAATCGAATTCTTGTGCACTGCGGCTTTTTATGCAGCGTTTTTTGTTGTTGTTGTTGTTTTTAATTGGAAAACGCGCAAATTAATTGGTTTTAATATTAAAACAAAACATTTTCTTTAGCTGCACAAAACTTACACATTTGCAACAGATTTTCGTTAGTAATTTAAAAGCCCACTAAAATAATGTACTTTCCGGAGGCGTTGTTAAGGCCACATAAAATCGAGAAAAGAACTGATAATGCTGCAGATGTTGGGGTGAGCTGTTGCTGCCACTGGCATTTTGCCCGCTGGCTGACAAAATTGTGGCGCGCAAATGAGCGAACATTTAAGGCCATAAGCTAGCTGCAAGTGAGCGTATTGCACGCGCCGCAGCTATAATAGGCTATAAGAGATGCATCTAGAAAACGCGCAACCCCACACCCACGCCCACACCTCGACTCAGATGCAGCCCCACCCGCCTGGCGGCAGCGCGTGCCCAAAATCGCGCATACGACCTGTGGGTGGACGCATGCAATACATGGATTCCACTCAGATCCACTCAATATAGAAAGCGAATCAAATATATATAACACAAGGTCTTGTGTAAGCGGCTGGCAAAGAAAGTGCCTGAATGCGACCCACACCCTTTGGAATTGATCGCTGGGATCGTTTGCTTGGCATTTGATTTGATTTTGCCATAAACTCAAACAAATTAGTCGATTACATAGTTGTTTTTGCTATATAGAATTGTTTAGCTATAATTACAATGCATTATTGTCACTAGTTTAGTTATGTTGTTGTTGTTGTTGTTGTTGTTGTAGCTGCTGCGGCACTTCATTGATTTCCAAACGAGAATTTGTGCGCACATTTCATGGCTACACTGCACTACAAGGTAACGCAAGTAAGGGCAAATTTTTAAATAATTAAAGCATATTACACGAAAATTTCAAATTCCTAAACTTAAAAGGGTTTATTAATAAGTTTTATATATTTTTTAATATTTTAAGGCAATATTTAATAAATTGAGGAAGTTTTTAAAAGGCAATGTTCGGAAAAAATTATTAAAATAAATTTAAAGATTGTTTTCTTATTTTTACATATTTTTTAATTTTAAAAAATATCAAATTTCATATTTTAAACTTATTTTTTATCAATTAAAATATATTTTTGTACCCTAGCAATTAAAAACCTTTATAATTTAAGCAATGAAAACCCACTCGCATTTTTTTTTTATATTTATACCTAATTGTTTAAACGTTTATCTATTGATGTGCACCGCACTGTCAATTGCCGCCTGAGTCACAAACTCATTGAACTCGTGCCTGTACATAATATACAGAGTATATATATGCTTGTATATATACTATAGATGAACACTGTAGGGCATGGCACATGTAAATTGTCGCCGTTGTCTTTATAATTACTATCAAGCGTTGGCAAAATCTATCGCAAATACAACAACAAGCCGAACAGAACAAGAAGAACATAAAATACAATTATAAACGGGTGGGGTCACACACACACACACACACATACACAGACGGGGGGTAAGGGGTAGGCAGGTCAGGCCCATAAATGTTCAATTCACGAAGAGTTCACGTTGCTGTTGTTGTCGCTAATCTTTGGTGCAAATCGATGGCAATAGCCGAAAAGCCGTTTAGCAGACAACGTGGCCATACAAATTGCCTTTTGTTATGACTAAAAGCTACAAATGTTTCAATCCAAGCGCTGAACATGTTGTTGACACAGTATCTCTATCTCTATCTGTATCTGTATGTCTATCTGTATCTGTGTCTGTAGCTAATTGAAAATGAAAATCCGCATAAATAGTCAATGCCAAATTTGGTCAAATAGTGAAAAGAATTATGCGACGTTTTCGAATGTTTGTTTTCACATTTCCGCTAAAGAAATTTGTTAATTTAGCTTAGCCCAGGCGTATCTATGGGTAGCTCATATAACAGCGGAAATGCTGCGTAATTAAGTTGAACTTGAACGTTATGGGAGAATAAGCTGGGCTTTTATTTTGTGGATTTGAGGCAAGAATTGGTTTTGGCACAGCTCACTAGAGCAACTTATGTGGCAGATCTTAAGTATATCGGCTCTTGCGGAAGTTTCTCAGACGCAGCAGCCCCGCAAGGAAATGCCGTTCAGCTGGCAGCCCACAGCGGCACGGCCCACCAGGCCAGCCCCATCAAGATCGAGTTCGACAAACAGCGATTAGCTGAGTAGATCGCCCGCTGCCGACGGCTGGAGCTGATGACGACGTCACAGTTGTCATTGCCGCTGGCTTAGCCCACTGGAAGCGCCGACCCAGCTGGCGCATTGGGCTCTATATAAGGCGGCGGTTCTGTCAGTGTCGCGTTTAATTCACTCAGCGCAAAAATCGCGTGCGGACGTTCAGAAAACGCGGCGAATCGTGAAACGTGAAACGGAACAATTTTGCTAAGCCACGCCGTAAAAATTCGCAACGCGTTGCTGCGTCCTGCCCCGAAAACCAAATACACACACACACACATAGTCGAGATGGCTTTGGTGCCAGCCACGAACAACAGCACGGACTGGGATTATTGGGATTATCGTCGTCGCTTGTGGCGCGATTGGGATCTGACCGCCGACTGGGATCTGCCCTATTGGAAGCGTTTGTCACGCGTCGGCTCAGCGCCAGATCTTAGCCGCGTTGTCGTTGGCAAGGATGGCTTCGAGGCCAACGTGGATGTGCATCAGTTCAAGCCATATGAGATTACCGTCAAGACCACCGGCGACACCGTCGTCGTCGAGGCCAAGCACGAGAAGCGACGAGATGGCGACACCTTCGTGGGCCGCCACATTGTCAAGAGATTCGTGCTGCCGCGCGGCTACTATCCCAATGATGTGCGCTCCGAGCTCTCCTCCGATGGCATACTCACCGTGCGCTGTCCGCCGTATCTGAGCAACGAGCGCAGCGTCTATGTGCGCCAAGTGGGACCCTCGTACCTGAGCATTAAGAACTAACACACACATACACACACACACACATACACACATACATTAACAGGATGTTTGAGCAGTTGTTTTGTTTTTGGTTTCTGTTGGCGGCACTGCCTTGCGCAAAGCATCCGAAAATGGCACTCGAGACGAATTTTGTTTACAAATTAATTTAATTAATTTAAGATACATTTTCACAAGCGCTTCATTGCGTGCAAAAACAAATCTTATTGGACTTTTTTGTTATTAACCAGAAACAATTTGTAGTTAAATAAAATGAAAGTTTAATTTATTAAAAACGAAAACAAGTTCGACTGATTGAAAAATTCGGTTGATTTAGCCAACTTTCTGGCTTAGCCCAATTACCAATTTGTTAGCCATGGCCAAGGGAAATCCGTACAATGTCTACGACTTCGCGTGAGACCCAAAACAGACGGCTTTTGAAAATGTCAACATAAATTGGCCCAAACGAGAATCGGACAGCGGCTGCCCCAGACAAACATGTCTTGATATATTTCTATATATATAGATATATTCTATCTAGAACGCCCTTGAGCAATTTCCGCAAATGCCAACTAAGGTAAAGTTTAATTGTAAATAAAGCAATAAACAACAACAACAACAACAAACGTGTCAATCTGGGAGACTAGAGCACCACATAAACCTACACAGCGGCACATAGTCCCAAGAAAGCCCCGACAAAGTTCTATATAAATAGTCTAGAGATACATCTGACAGCTGACCATAATGGTCAATGAGTTAAAAACAAATAGCAAAAAATAAAATAAAAAAAAAACGGCATCAGTAAATAAAATAACAATGTTTGAAAATAAAGTCGCACGCCCACAATGCAACGACGCGACTTGTGCGCTGTTTAAAACGCGAGCAATTGCAAGTGTGTTACGGTCGCTCGACTTTTGTAGCAGCTGCCTGTCAATGGGTCAATCATTGGCCAGTTCAATGCTTAACCTAAAAAAACGCTTTGTTGCAGTTTAAACAATCAATTTGTCAATCACATTGAATGAATAAATGGATCAATAATTGATTCATTTAGCTGCTAGAGTCTATTTAAATTTGGAGTTCTTGGTGCCAAATACGTATTCAGGTGACTCAGTTGATATGAAAGTTTAGATTGCTTACTGATAATTAATTTAAGGAATGAGCTTTTAATATGTTTAAAAGATGTACTTGTATGTAACGAGCAGGTGGTTATAGCTGTGTACAGGGCTTCTGCTAGTCGGGCAATGATTAATTAGATTTTCACTCTATTTGTTTGCTCTCTCTATTTAAATGTTCTGTGTCTTCTCTCTCTGTCTCGCCCTCATGTGTTCTGCTCGATAATTTAGCTCATGAAAATCGCATAGAGAGGCGACATGTAGTTTCAAGTAAAAAAGTTAAGCATACTTTTAGGCTGCAGTCTTTACGAGCTGCTGTGAAAGTTGTAAATTAAGATGCAGCGGCAAACTTCCCGCTCAAACAATTTGGCGTTGTTTTTAACTAAACAATCATATTTTTTTGTTGCTTTTTTTTATGCGCGTTGTATTACAAACGGGCTCTATTAACGATAACTACAACTAATTTAAACATGCGAAAGTATGTCTCTATATAACAATGACTGCCACAGATTCGAGTCGTGTGGATGATGGTGGTAATGTTGGTTGACTGGTTGGTTCTGTCTTCGCGGATGTGGTTCTTCGATGTCAGCTTATTGCTCGTCCTTCTGTGCTGGCGGGTGTGTGCGAATGTACTCGAGGGCACGGAGCACGTAGGCCGGAACCGGAGGCGGTGTTGGCAAATGATCGCCAACGGGATGGTAGCCCTCCTCATCGGCCGTGTAGCTCAGCGAGATCTGTTCGCCTTCGGGTGAAATGTAGGAGAGCGCACCGCGAACGCCCGAGGGATTGCCCGCCTCCTGGACCTGAATGCCATTGCTGGTCTCATAGGCATACTGATAATTGCCCTCCGCATCGGATGCTTCGTTCTGGAAGCTGCGAATCTGTGCGTCCTTGTTGATGTTGTCGGCGCATGCGCAACCGATGAGGGCGAGGCACAGCATCTGCGATTAACACACGCGATTAGCAAGGGGAACTATGAAACTCTAAATTGTTGACGGGCACTTACATATTTGAACATCTTGACTTGAGCTTGAGAGCTGTGACTGTGGATGGGTTTGAGTGTTATAAGGCGGATGCTTCAACTGCAACTGATTGCTCTGCTCAACAACGTGCTGGCTTTTATATGGACATGGATGTTTGTGGTTGGGTATGGCAAACGGGTTTTAATGGTTTTTTATGGCATCCCAGCAATGGCAATTGGCAACTACATGGGCGAAGAGGGCACCAATAATTGCCAAAAAACCGTCTTATCATAATCGAAACATTTTATAACAACAATGCGGTTAACTATAATCGAATATCAGAGCCTTTAAAATGCATGAGTCATTTGCCAGCAATTTATTTCCACGCTTTAATTCGGTGTCAGTTTTGCATTCGCCCCATGCAACTCTTTACTTCTCGCTAAAACCTAAATAATTTGTTTATTTTTATGTGGTTCACAAAACCAGAAAAAAACACCTTAACAGCTTTCAATGTTGTTGTTGTTGTTGTTGTTGTTGCCAGTCGTCGCCCTGCGGCGCCCTGCTGTTGTAGTTGGAGCTCGACTTGGAGTTGGCAGGTGCGCGTGCCCGCTTGGAAGCCGGCGCGAATTGTCTAACTTGAAGAGCTGTTGAAATGCTCGGATGCGCAAGGTCGTCCCAGCAGCATTCGGATGCGCAGCCTCAACCTCAGCGGGGAGGCAGCTGACGATCATGATGATCCATTAAAAATTGGATGTGTGATTTGGCGGGACTTTTTTTGTAACAATTAGAAACGGTAATGCGAACCCAATAGCAAAGTTTGAAAACATTGATGAAATCGTTAACAAGTAACACATAATCCAATACTCAATATCTGCCCACTTTCCAATTAAAGTTGAAAATGTATAAAATAGAATTTACTTTTGACTGAGTTTGAAGTTGAAATATGATTTATTTTTGATTGACTTGCTCTCTTTAAAAATGGACAAACATTTTTTAATGGTGCTAATATTTTGTGTATAGGGAAGTAATTAGACGACCCAAACACGTGTAATTAGCATTGATTAATTTCTATGCTATATATTCTAAATGTTGTGCTCGATCATTTACGAGAAACATATAAATTTATAGCAATATTTGAATTTGTATCACAAATAAATAATATATTTTACTGCTCTTGTTTAATGTACATCATTCTTCGACATTTAGAGACCAACTTTTTGAGACCAGATCGCTCGAGCATGATAACTTAATTAAATTGCTATTGGTTAACATGGTAAACACAGCGTTTGATATTTTAACAGCTTGTTTGTTGTTCCGACAAAGTTAAAAGTATTTGAGGCATGCGAGAGACCCGATTCCTCTTATGCTTCAAGCAAAAACCGTTAAAAATAAACATAATTAAACTTTCGACTATTTTCAGGTTTGCTGCCGCATTTATAATATAATCTACGACATACTTGTTCTTTATGCGATACAAGAAATATATATTTATTAAAGAAATTCTATTTAGATTCCTGCTTATGCAATTTAAAAAAAAATAATAATATTTATGGTAAAAAAAGATGTAGACTTTGCCCTAGTAAAAAATATTGAATATGTTTATAACTATTTATAGCACACAAAAAATATGCATATTTTGCATATTTAAATCATTTTGTCGCCCAACGACCATAAAAAGGTCTTGATCAGCCCACGTGGATTGGTGCAAAAAACAAACAAAAAATGGAAACAAATCTAGAATGCATTATCCATCATCTTGAGAGACATTCAAAAATACAAATTAGTTTGGCCTTTTAGCAATTCAAATTTGCCGAAACGCCAGATTCGGATCGCTGTTGAGCAAGTTTGTGTTCTAAGTCTTTTGCTTGTGCACGTGATGAGCAGATTCCGCGCTAATGGACTCGACGCCAATGAACAGGCATTTTATTAGCTGCTTGTAAAGTGCGAGGCTCACTTTTAAAGCTCATGGCAAATAAAATGGAAGCGATCTGCTCTCGGCTAATTTATTGTCATGCCACAAATTTGTATGCTAATACGAACTTGTTCCAATTTGGATGAAGAATTCTTCTTTGCCTAATTAAACAATTAAACTGGTTTGCCCAAAAGCTGAATGGCCAGCCAAATCGAAATTGAAAGTGATGATAAATTGGTTTTAGTTTTAGTTTTAGGTTGTTATTTTTTTTAATTTTTTTCAATTTTAGCTAGTTGTATCGTAAAAATTCCCATCAAAAAGTTGCTCAATCTTTCGACTGAGGCTAATGTCACATACGTCATTATCATTAAAAAAAAAACAAACTATAAAGCCCCGATCGGGCTGCTGCTGATGATGGGTGACGTTTACCGCCATCTCAGTGGATCAAGCAGCCAATTCCAAAACCGCTATGAATGAGTTTAAACGCTTTTCGAGCAGCGTTTTTCATATTTATTATAAATATGAATATATATATATTTATGCGTGTATTTTGTTTTGGCCCGAATTTTATTTAATATAATCGCATTTTGCTTACGCACAAATATCTTAAGCTCGTGGATATTTAGTACAACGCGTCATCAACGCAGCTCAACGGCGGATTAGAAACGACGGCGACGACGAGGACGGCGACGTCGGCAACTGCGCCTACATATTCCAGTTTTGGATGCTACGAGTATAAAAAGCCTCCGACGCTCAAAGACAATCAAACAGTGTGAATTAGACAACTGAATCAACATGTTCAAGCTTGTGAGTAGAGCAGCGCGAGTGCTAAATGAAGGACAACGCAGCGTATCGAAAGGATAATAAAAATAATTTGATTTATTTATTGCAGTCACTGTGCCTTATCGCCGCTCTGCTGGTCTGCGCCCAGGCGGACAACATTAACCGGGACGCTCAAATTCTGAGCGAACGCAGCGAACCAGCCGATCCGGAGGGCAACTATGTGTACAGCTTCGAGACAAGCAATGGCATCCAACAGCAGGAGTCGGGCAATGCCAATGGCGCCGCCGGCACCTACGCTTTCGTGTCTGATGATGGCCAAAAATACGAGGTGACATATACCGCCGATGAGAATGGATACCATCCCAGTGGCAGTCATTTGCCCACGCCTCCACCAATTCCTGAGGCCATACTTAGGTCATTGGAGTACATTGCAGCGCATCCACCAGCACGCCAGTAGAGTTAATATTAAAAACAGTTTTAATAAATCATAAAATAGAGTACAATAAACCAAAAGTTAAACCTGAGCCAACAAAAACCAATCGCTTTCAATGGGTAATATATATGGATATGTGTATCAGTCAAAAGTCTTACAGCGTTAACTCATGATTTAATATATGTATATGGATCATATAAATATACAATACTTCAGACGTTTTGAGCCACATTTAACGAACGCTCATTAATCAAAAAGCAAAGCAGATGTTTCCATAATGAATGGGCACAGGAATTAACCATATTGGTCGAGGTGAAAAGTATAAAATAAATGCTTAAAGAAACATCAGACGGAAATTTATGCAGTCAAATGTGGAAGCTGCAGGGCCAACAAGTCCGTCGACGCTTCGCACCTTTTTTTTTCTTTTGTTGCTTCGTTTATGTGGCATCAAATTGCACACATATATGTATGTATATATATATATAATTTGTCATTTCAATGTAAATGCGACAGTTGACCCCCAAAATGCTAAAACAAGATACAACATTAAATACAAATACCAAGAAAGAGTCTAAAATATGATGCAACCACTCGGAACAGCCGCAGATCCAAAGTGCTGCCGTCGCTGGGCTCCAAACAGGTTTCACGGCTATCAACACTTTCGCTGCGCCTGCGTATTCTACCGGCCGAAATGTAGGTCAACTGCCGGCTCTTAATGGGACCTCAGCACGTAATACCCATCCGCCCAATTAACCCATCCACATTTGGATGTGTAGCAAAAGATCATAAGAACAAGGTGAGCAAAAGCTGAAAGTGTAGTTTTTAGAAATGTTTCTGAGTACGTTAAACATTATATATCTTACTATACAATACCAATCCCCATTTCAGTTGAAATGCTTAAAAGTCACGCCTGAATTACCTACTACTGCAATAGCATAAACTGGAACTGAGACCTTAAAGGGTTAACCCAGTTCAACACAGAGCGCATCAGCTCTTTTAAGCCACCGCCGCGCGTATGTGCAACCAGTTCCTCGTTATCCTTCAAGACGAAAAACGAAGCGAACAACCTCGTGGTGTGTATGTACATTGTGTATTTATAGCAGAGGCAGAGCCAGAGCCAGACTTTAACAGTATAATCAACAATTAAGTATATAAAAATAAGAGATGTGACATCGATACACAGAATCATTTATGCAACAATAAATAAGCCCCAATTGACCCAAGTTTATACTGACTTTGTATTTGGCTGTTGTTGTAATAAGCTTTACAGTTTGCTCTCGGCAGCCTCCTTGGCCTTTTTGCGCGCCGCGGCAGAGGCAGCTGGACCAAAACGTTGTATAAAGCTGTTGACCGGGCCAATAATGGCCTCTGGATTGTTCATGTGCAAATGATGCGTGCCATTTGCCTCCAGATATTCAAAGTTTGACTTCTTTAAGAGCACTTCGAGCACTTCATCGTAGTACTTTTTGTCCTCGAAATAGGATGACTGTGAGCCCTTGATAAACATATAGGGACACGTAATGCGATGGGCCATTTCCACGCATAGCTCCTGCGAGCCAATCGCATAGTTGTAAAACTTTAAGCGGCGATCGCGACAGAAGAAGTACTTGTCCGGATACTTGCCCGACTTTTGGATGTTGCGCGCAAGCATATGTTTGCACAGCTCCTTGTTGACCGAGTGAAAGGTGCCGATGTAGACGCGCTCGATGAGCTCGTCGTAAGTATAGCTGGGCGGTTCGTTCTTGCTGCGATTGCGTTCATCCTCCCGTAGAAATTCGTCCAGGCGCGTTTCCATTGTGCGAATGACCGAGGGATATGGACGTTGATGTGGCTTCAACGCGTCAATGCCAATTATCATATCAACCTTGTCGGGAAAGACAGCGGCAAACACAAAACAAATTATGGAAGACATGGAATGGCCAACCAGAGACACCTTTTCCCACTTATATTGCTTCATGATAAGTCTTATCACATATAGATTATCCACCGAATTGTAATAGCAGCCATCAGGCAGTCGTGAAGACAATCCATGGCCGGGAAGGTCTACAGAAAGAAAAGCCACATCCGGTGATAGCAAAGGCACCAACAAATCATATGTGCCCGCATTATCTTGCCAGCCATGGAGACCCAATATGGGCTGAACATTCTGTGGGCCATACCATTTACCAGCTATGTGACCCCAGGGCACTTTAATGCTGATCTCGGAAAACTAGAATCGAATTGCACACAACAATTAACTGCGATTTACGTTCCAAAGATCAAAGTGCACACTTACAGCTCGCGTTGGCGGCTCGCCAGTCAGGTCGCCAGCATGTCGATAACGTTGGTTAAGATTGAGGTCTGCATTGCCGCCGCCGCCGCCGCTGCTGCTGCTGCCATTCGAATTATCCTTAAACTCAAACTCCATGTTCCTCACTGCAAGTGAACAAAAACACGAATGTGCTTTAATTCCAAAGTTTAGCCGAATCGAAGGCGCTAACAAATTCTTATCAGCGTTCGTGCATTGCGATTAGCTCGTTTGCGATTAGTTAATCAGAGCGAGGAGCACAATGTTTGGGTGAGAAATATGCTGCATAACGATAAAACCAATCAAAGTAAATAACAAAGGGAACTATAAAATTTAATTATCCATGCCACGCTCGATCTGGAAGTATCAAAACCCAATACACAACAGCTCCAAAGTTCAAGGTCAACTGGTGGGTCTAACTGATGAATGCGCTTGGTTTTATTTCTCCACAGCAACTTACTTACAATTCCATTAATATTGTGCAGTCAGACCTTCCGCTAATACAAATTCGTTTTGTTTTCCACACTTATTAGATACGTTTAATTAAATATTGCCGTGGCACGACCATAGAACAATAAACTAAGCAAACAGCTGATTGGGGAGTTAGAGCGCGAGAGAGAAATCTAGTGTTAGAGATGGACAAAAGTGCAAGACATGTGTATTTGAGTGTTATAAATGAAAAGTAGTTTAATTGCCGTTAAATAGGCAAAGCAAGATCCAATCAACTAATAATAGACCTGTTCAAGCATTTAGCAGCACTGAAACCAAGAAGCGTTTTTAATTGTTAAGCTATCGATTGTTTTGGCCATCATCGATAGTTACACACGCCAGCGTTAAGTACTATGAAATTATGGTGGCGTTTGTAACGCTAGGAAAGACGTTGCAGGAAATATTTATATATATTAAGAAAGTATATTAATTTCGTTCTTATTTGAATAATACTATTACTATGAAGTATCTAATTACTACTTTATTTAATATGTCTCTTATATGTATATCGCCAATTTCGGACTTTTATCAGACGTTTATGCCCCGAATATTTCGCAGGGTATCTGTCATTCGGCGTGTTACTTTTTCGCTAGTGGTTGGTAAATCTCAAGCGCTTCACTTGTAATCAGATGTTTCATTTCATCACGGTGATCAAGCAAGTTAGGCGTTACAGTGCCGCTTAGATATTACTTAATACAAAATTTTACAAAATATACTCACTCGGAATGAAAGGTCCAAGAAGTTTGCGCCTGTTGCAGCAGCTTGTAAAGGGGACACAGCAGAGTGTTCGTCTGGCGCACGGTCAAAGTTCAACCAACACGCTGAAGACACTAACAAAACATGTAGGTAACATGATTGATTGCTTCACTTTCACCAGGCATCTGACTCACTATATATCCACACCTTGTAGTATGAGGAAGTCAGCATTCCCGTTCCTTGGGGTCACATATCTGGCAAATGGTACGGACCAAAGCATGTGCGTCCTATTCTGGGCATGCACGGTTGGCAGGACAATGCTGGCACCTTCGACACTCTCGCACCGCTGCTGCCGCCGCATTTGTCCTTTCTCAGCATAGACGCACCAGGTCACGGACTCTCCTCCTGGCTGCCAGATGGTGTCATGTATCACTCCATAGATTATGTACAGCTGGTGCTGCGTTTAATGGAGGAATACAACTGGAGCAAAGTATCCATGCTGGGTCACTCAATGAGTTCCATAAATGGCTTCGTATTTGCCGCTCTATTCCCGGAGAAAGTGGATATGTTTATTGGCTTGGACGTGCTGAAGCCCCCCATACGTAGTCCAAAGCAAATTGTGAATGCGCTGTCAGAGCGCCTGGAAGCTTCTCTAAAGCTGGAACGACGCCTACGCAGCGGTAGTGAACCGCCTGCCTACGAATGGGATCAACTGGTGGAACGCTTGCATCATGGTACCGATAAGTCCGTCGATATAGAGGCCTGCAAGTACCTACTGCAGCGCAACTGCAAACCCTCCAGCCACGAACCTCACAAGTATTACTTCTCGCGCGACAATCGCCTGAAGTACTCGCAGTTCTACACACTCTCCCTGGAGATTGTGCTGGAAATGGCAACGCGCATCAAGTCGCCGCATCTGTTTATTAAAGCTCTGCAGGCGCCCTACTACGAGAACAAGAAATACTATGATGCCACGATCGCGGTGCTGCGCCAGAACCCGCTATTCGAATATCATGAAGTTGACGGATCGCATCATGTACATCTCAATGAGCCCGAAAAGGTGGCGCACTTCATTAATTCTTTTATAAACAAGTACAGACCCTTATGAGATTATATAGATGGGGATGAACCCTGAACTTGTACAAAGTAGCTAGTTATTATCTATTGACCGATATAGATATTATAACCGACATTATACTGCTTGAATCTAGATAATAAGTGACGATAATGTTTAACCCACGCTTAACAATAAAAATACAAATTTGTTGCTTCTATTTAATTTAATTACCGTCAATACTGGTAATAACATTACAGTTAGAGTAAATTACAAACTTGAAGATGTTTGAGTAGATTTTTGTTGTCTGTTTTGTTATTTTTTAAATGGAATTCGCGCCGCATCTAAAACTAGACAATAAATACTACGCACTTGATTATAAAATATGGTGTCAAAACAAAACAAAAATCATTCGTGACTTTTGTTTCCTTTTGTGCGTTGTTTATTAAAATTAGGTATATCAAAAAATGTACAGAACAATTTAAAAGGAATTGTGTGTAAACTATGCGAAAAAGTGCTGAATCTATGAACGCCACAGAATTATGAACTTAATCCATTGCGCACTGCACATTTGGCAGCACATATAGTCAGCATTTCTCCAGCAATCAAACTTAAAAATTAAACCTAAAAAATAAATTATGCAGGAGTAGATAATAATAAGCTAATATCTAACCACATGCATCAACTTATATGTTATTCCTTTCTTTTGTTTATGTATTTGCTCCAATTCAGTCAGCGCTAAAAACAATAAAATCTTTACAATATTGGGTTACAAAAGGAAGCCATATAAAAAAAGTGAAATATTGACGCTGCTGCTGATTTGTAACATTCTTAGTTTAATACATATACTTGTATATAAGTATTTATGGTAGGTTGTAAATGTGTATATCAAGCGTAATAGCAATTACTTCAGTTTCGCATGGATTTTCTGCGTGTATGAGTGTGTTTTGGTTTTGTCAGATTCAAGTTGTTATAGAAAAATATACATATATGTTAAATAAATATATATGGTGTTATATACTCTGCTAAACTACAAGACATACAACTAGCTGAACTAACAGGCGTTGTGCAGTTGCAAAAGTTGATCAATCCTTGTGAAATTTCAACTTTTGGTGCTGCTCAACAGCTGGAGCTGCTCTTTAAACATTGTAATAAAACAACAAACTAGTTTCTAGGCTATAAATAAATAAAATAAATAAGTTATTTCTTAAAAGAAAATGCTTTGCAACATTTAGCATGGATTTTTGTTTGTTTGTTTGTTTGTTTGTTTTTTTGTAAAACTATATACAATTGAATTTGGAGCAGAAAAACGGCCTAGGCCACTGGCGAAGAGTCGCCTTTCATGTCGCGCTCGCGAAAGAATCCTCGCTCTGTTTTGCACTCGCGTATGGTGACCGTCTCCAGGTTGACGGTGACATCCGTGATGACCACTCGATTCGATATGTTGCACTTGGCGGGCAACCAGAACCGCGGCGGCAATGCACGCGGCGACAGCGGCGTCAACGGTTGCTTTTGGCTTAACGCCAGGGCGCCACTCAGTTTTGGTATGTTATTGTTTTCCGCTGTCTGCGCCGCTGACGCCTCATCATCCTCCTCCTCGGTATAGGCTGGCGTCGGTGTTTCACCTGCCTCCGGCTCAGTGTTCAGTGGCGCACTCTGCAGCTCTGTCTTGTGTGGCTGAGTGGCCGATTCTGTTGCATTTTGTTGTTGTTGCTCCTGTGCCGACTGCAGCGGCTTGGTTGCCGGTCCATCTGGTGAGGTTTTAATGGTGACACCAATCTTGCCAGATTCCTTGAGCACCTCAGCCTTGCGCTTGGTGCCCATAAGTGGTTGATCCTCTGAACTGGATGAGTTGGTGTCTGCCTCCGGCACAAACGAATTCTCATTGTGCGTGGAGCTGCAATTCGAAGACGAGCTGTGATCCATGCGCAGCCGCTTCGACTCATGATGATGATGATGAGTCAACGGCGATTCGGAACGACGATTACTAATCCGTTCGGACTTGATACTTTGGTTGTTGTTGTTGCTGTGCTGCTGCTGCTGATGATGATGATGGTGGTGATGGTGATGATGGTGTTTCTTGTCCTTATCCTTTTTGTCCACGCCATCGTTGGTAGCGGCGGCAGTCGATGTGGTTGCCTGATTGGTATCAGGCACATCATCGCCGTTGAATGTATACTCATCCTCCTCAGATTCTGGCTCCGGATCGGGTTCCTTCTCCTTCTTTTTAAGAGCGGCGGCGCGTTTGGAGGGTGTGCCCGAGGATTTGTTGCTCTGCTCGTAGATGTCGATTAGGCGACGATCCAAGATGTTCACCTCAGGCTCCCAGGTGTTGTAGCGTTGGTTCCAGCCCTTCCACTTGACACGGTACTCCACAACGCCCTGCAATATGGAAGCATGTTTGTGTCAGATCTCACAGGTCTCTAGCTGTATATTTGCGGTTGGTTTATAGTTGGATAAAGAGTGCGTTTTATTTATATATTAGAATTCCTTTAGTTTGTGACTCGTTTGCCCGGCGCATATTTTCAGTCAGGATCGTTCATTCAATGAGAGAAATTTGGCGCGTTCCAAACACACAGCGCATGGCAAACAAATTGATTTTTCATCGATGCCGAAATGTAGCGCAGTAAAAACAAAAACACACACACGCACACACAAACACACACGCGCAGCGCAAATGGTGGTTGCTGCTGCTGCTGCTGCAGCAGCTCGGGACATTAGCGCAGCTGCCAGCAGATGGACGACGCGAGCCTCTGCTCGAAATTTCGAAGGACATGTGACCTTGTAATTGTTTCTGCTGCGCACTTTTTACTTTTACATGCAATGTAATTATTTTTGTTTATTTGCTAGAACGTACCTTTCTAACGCGCTTCTGGATGATTTTTTCGGCAGCATAGACGCGATCGTCCGAGCTGCCCATTGTGTTGCCGTCCACTTTACCAATTTTGAGGCTGTTGCTGCTCCTCCGATGAAATTGATGCTGGAAACACTTGATTTGCCTTTCGAATAACTTTTTAGTTGATCACTAATTGTTTAATTTGCATTATTTGTAAATGCAAAACCTTTTAATAACAAATTGCGACTGACATTTACACTGACTGCAAACAATGTGACCGTAGTAGTGGATGTAGAAAAATCTTACAATTGCAGTAGTGTAATCGGCCGGCCACCACCAGCTATCGGTCATCAGTGTGGAACGTGCAATATAAAATGTGGATCGTGAGGTGTGACCGTATATTTAAAGCCGAAAATGCCAAAAGTTAGGCGCTCTAGTGTTTGAAAGCGTTCAAGCGCAGTTCAGCATTTAGACATTCATGCAGCTCGGTGCCACTGTTTCGAGTGCGTACAAAATAAATCAAATTTGCATCGTCTGTGTGTGTGGGAGAGAGTGTGTGCGTGCAAAATGATTTTTATACAAACAAAAATGTGATAACGCGATTTTCATAAGCAACGCATACAGACAGAAACGTTAACAAGTAGCAAAAAATCATAGTGTAAGAGTGCACAAATCAAATAAAAGCGAGGAAATCGAAAATGTGAAAACAGGCCGCTACGACACTCACATACACACACACACACACACGCACACGTTAAAACACGCACACACACAATGACCCAAAAAGGATGTCGAGCTGCGGAAGCCCATAGTAAATACGTTGTTGTTGCCCTTGTCAATTGGGCCTGCTTTGTCGTCATAGATTGGGTCGATGAATGGCACTAGCTGCGGCGCTCGGGCGCAGGATGCCATTGCCGTTATTGCGTTTGACAGATATCAAAGGGAAATGAAGACGTCAGCATCGGATGAAGTGGATGTGGAACTGTGGCCGGGGGCTCAACGTGGCTGCCTAATTAGTGCGGCGCAGGCGACGACTCCAGCGCCATCGAGGATATACTTATTCATGCTGTGATAGTGAAACACCAACAAAAATAAAAAACAAATAAAAACATTAAAACCATTAAAACTAATAACGCCAAGAATCAAATGCAATATTTTCGCTGAAGTGAATGAAAGAGAGACAAAAAGAGAAACAAAAACAAAACCAATTTAACAAAAAGCTTTAAATAAAACAACCAGCAGTGAAAAAAAGATAAACTGTACTAGCTTTAAGTGTAATTAATTAATAGTGAAAAACAGCACCAATTAGCGCATAACCCGTAGATGAACTAGTCAATATGTTTAGCTAGTTACAATTTATACTTTACAATTATTTAGTGGCTTTAACTAAAACACCAAGCAACCAAAAACACCAAAACCAAAATCAAAGTTCAATTGAAAAGAAACTAACGAATATAAGTTTAGGGAATTCCAATATAAATAAGCTTAGCCAAGTTACTTATTAAGTTTAGAGCAAATATACACACATAAATACATAGCTATATACACATATACATATATATATATATATATATATATAAATTACAAAGAGCGAACCGCCCGCATACCGCAGCCCCCCGCATTAAGCCCTAAATCAAATTCATTCAGAAAACGTGCCATAAACCGGACGGCCAAACGTCGCTAAATGTCAAAGTCATAAAGAGAGCGAGTACGCAAGAGAGACAGAGCGAGAGACAGATTGCGCGTGAGAGCGCCTAAAAGCACACTGCATAGTTGGGGCTCAGCACAAAAGTTCAGCTTTGCTTTTGCATAGCCAGGACACAAACCCAACATGGCAGCCACAACAACAACCACAGCAACGCATCACGACGATGCGAGCAGCATGAGCGACGATGTTTTCGAGGATGCGGAAACAACGAAAGCACGCATCGAGGAGCTGCGACGGCGTCCCTTCGGCGATGGCTGCTACAATCCGCCCGCAGCGCCCATTTCGCAGCAGCAACAACAACAACAGCAACACCAGCATCAGCATCATCATCATCATCATCCCAATCTCAATCACAACAACAGCAGCAGCCAACAGAGCCTGACGAGTAGCCATCATTACCATGACAACGCCATCATGGCGCCCGTACAGCGCTCCGCCACCGGCTATCCGGGCTATCGTCCCTCTCGCGAGGCCCTGCAGATGTATGCATATGGCAACGCGGACTACGAGCTGGAGCATGATTACAATGATGGCTGGCGCTCGTATCGCTACGACGAGGTGGACATGCATCAGGCACCGGCACCAGCGCATCAGCCGCCCTTCGATGACACCATCAATCACAAGACGATCCTGCTGGGCGACTCTGGCGTGGGTAAAACCTCTTTTCTGGTCAAATACAATACGGGCGAGTTTCGTTTGGGCTCCTTCTCTGCCACCGTAGGCATTGCACTAACGGTAAGTCAAAGCGAGCAAGTGTGTGGATGAGCGAGATAGCGAGAGAGGGGGAGAGAGAAAGAGAGAGAGCGAGAGAGTGTAATCTAATGACATTTCAAGAGCACAATTGTGCGCGTCTTGCGGCTGCATCTTACTCTTTCCGCCTGTGCATGCCGAAGGTTCACGTTCCGTTGGTTTTCAAAAACATAGACATAATCATAATCCCATTTCGTGGCTTTGCTGTGCGCACCTGCTTAACTCCGTGCGTGTGTGTGTGTGTGTGCGTGTGCGTGTGTAACTGTAATTGAGCATCTGCCGCAAGGGTTTTGGTTGGTGCCCCAACAAAAAGGCAGCATATTGCCATGTTGTGGCGCCATTTCCTGCTCCTCCATGCTGTCTATTTTTATCGCACACAAATCTCTGCAGCGCATTCGCATTGATTTTGTGGCTCCCATGTAATATAAATAAACTCCGTAACCACGACGCGTATAGGTTAAGCTGGCAGCTACATAAGGTTGTGCGAGTGTGTGTGTGTATACGCACTTCATGGTATTTATGACACGTAACACAACCGCGGTGGCAAAAAAAGTATCGGAATATTTTGATTGATTAGCTGATTATTACCGAGAAGCTTTACTTTGTTAAGTGCACTTTAATTGCCATTCTGAGCCGCCAATCAGAGTGAGAACTGATTTTGTTTTATTAAATAGAGTATTCTGAAAGTCTAAAAACTTTTAACATTTGCTGGCATCTTGCGAATTTGAACAAAAGTTGAAGAAGGCTAAGATCAGGAGTGGCAAACATATTACTTTAAAAAAACTTTAAAAGAATTGTTGAAAATATAATCCATTATAGATGGAATCAATTATTCAAAACTATTTGTATATAATAGAACATTGTTTATAGAAACAGAGAAATCTTTAAAATTTGAAATGATGTAGGATTGAATATGGAAAATTTGTCTTTCTTTTTACATGAAAAGCTTAAAGTAACTAAATTCAACTTTGATTATTTTTTAAAGTTTGAAATAAGTTGCAAATGATTAATCAAATTAAAAAAAAATCTATTTGAGACTGCGTTGCTTCCGCCTGCTAACTAAAAGCGCCCACAAGTAGGCAACATATTTCGCTTGCCCTGAATTCACAACCTGTTGCTGGCTTTCACTTTCGCAGCTTACAGCACGACGCAAGAGGCAGCAGCAGCGACGACGGCCATCAAGGCAATGAAGTTCAAGTGCAACAGTTATATATTTGCCATTGAGACCCGACCCAGCCACCTGGTCCACATTTGGTCGAGTTGGCACAGTTGCCCTTACTCCGTGGCAGACGTTCGGGCGCGTGCTCGACATTGGCTGGTCGCGTTTCTAGGCCAGGGCTGCTGTGTTGTGGCAAAGCCAAGAGCCGAAGCCGACACGAACTTGACTCGGCCATGGCATGAAGGACTTTGCGCTGGATGCTGCGGTCTGTTGCTGCCGTTGCTCCTGGCTGCGTGCTCAGTTTAGTTTTGTGCGCTGCTCCTGGCGCTTCGATTGGCAACGGGCGCGCATTTTTCAAAATCAACATCAATTCAAATTTCAGTTTTTGTGCACAGTTTTAAACAACATTATTGTTGTTCAGCAATGTAAAGTGAAAGCAGACGCTTTGAACTTTTTTACCAAACGCACACATACACACACAAATACAAACACTGAGGCGGAACGCTGCAAGTTTTTATTGCATACTTTTGAGCGCTTCGCGTCAGACGCACAACTTTTGTGCAATTTGCAAGGTTTTACAGCTATTTTTGGTGGCTTCTCTTTGCTCTTTGTGTTTGCGCGCAATACCTGTGTGCGCTACTTCAGCTGTCTGTGTGTGTGTGTGTGTGTGTGTGCGCTAGGTATTTGCTGTCTGGCTAAATTGAGAAGGTTCTTTGCGCGTTTAAAAATAAATGAAAACAATTTATGACAAGCACTAATAAAAATTGATTTTTGTGTGCTAAGGATATCCTCAATTAAATTTGTGGAGCTGTATGATGATATATTTTAAGTGATTTCCCGTTTGGCTATTCGAGCTAGTTGATATTATTCATTTAAAAATGACAAGCATTTTTGAAAGTTACTTTTGAAAATTGTTTTGGTACGAGCAAAAAGCTAGAAATGTTTTAGAAAATTGTATCGAAAATATTAATAAAATATTCAGCTAGATAGCGACTATCAAATTGTAAAGCTAAAACCTGAAAACTATTTGACATTTATTTATTTACCATTTATTTTATTTGTAATTCCACGAAATGTTCACCAAGTTCCTTCCAAGTGAAAACTCTTTTGCTTAGCCCCAGATATAATATAATTAAGGTATTTTAAATGCAATATTATTTGATTTATAATCCATGTCAGATTAGGTTAAGACTCTCGTCTTTATTAGCCCAACATGTAACATGTAATCTGATTTTCCGCGTAATTTACAACTCGAAGATAATTGAAAACAAAGCTGGCAATCGTAATGCATTGTCCTGGAAAATTGCATTCATATGTATTTGCTTCTGTCTCCATAGATTGATTCAATGCTGCCGCATTTATCTAACTCAAATATACATTAAATGCGAGCATCAGTTAAAATGCATTTAGTGGGGGAAAGTCAATTACAAGAGCTTCCATTCTGTGGCAGCTTCCGTTGCGGCAACTTTAAGCAGCTCAGGTTCAAGGCTAGCTTAATTAAAACTTGCTTTTAAATACATGCAACAGAGCGGGGCATTGAAACGAGTTGCGACATTTTCCATGGACATTTCATGGGAAATGCAATTTAAGCCGATTACAAGCACAAATCTTTGTGGCTGCCTATGCCGTCCAGTGTCGTCCTGCGTCCCGTGTGTCCTCTCCTGTGCTGTGCTTCGCTGTGTCCTGGTCTCGACTGCAAGTAGCTGTCGAGTGGATTTCATCACAAATGATTTTACGGCAGCCGCACATCATCAATGTGAAGCTGTCGATTGGCCAGCAACGGCTCGTCAGTTTCCTCTTAAAATCAACTGAAACGCCCACACAACCTACGCACACACACACACACACACGCACATATATACGCACAGACTGCTGTGTCCAATGTTCGTCATTTCCTTAAAGCTGTCCATGCAATCAGAAAGCCATTGTCCGATAGATGCGGCCGATGTCTGCGCATTTTGCCTTCGTTTTAACTGCGTGATTGAGCGCATGATTGAAAGTGTCTGCGTGCGTGCGTGCGTGTGTGTGTGTGTGTGTGTGTGTGTGTGTTGTCCAAACCGTGTCCTTATGAAGGTATGCTCGCAAAAAGCCTTTGACGTACACATGTGTACACACATATCTATATGTACATGTACATATAGTTTATACATGCGTAGCATCTGACCCGCTGCTGCGTAGGTTTTTCGAATGTGCTCAACCGGCCGTAAACGGAGGGCCCATTTATTTTTGTGCTGCACATTGATGTAATTACTCGCAGAAATACTTCAAGTTGCCGTTCGACTCATTCAGGCGTCTCGCTGTTCCAATGCCGTTTAAATTTTCCGCCGCTCTGCACTGGCAGCAGCAGTTTTCTTCTTCTGTTTTTTTTTTACCGTGGAAAAACGCTGCGCCGGCAACCCAATTAAAAACTTTTGTTATCGGCCATCGCAGATTGGCAATGTAAAGTTGATTACATTCAATTTAATAGCCAACTAATACGGCAAGGTCATTTTATGGGTCGACTGATGAAAACGTTGACCAGACTCTAGAAAAGGTCGCCTTTTTGGAAAAGGATACGAATTAAATTTCAAGTGAATGTAATCAAATTTAAATTGTATGTTGCATGGATTTTGTGGCATGAACAAATTGAATTTGCCACAAGCCAGAGACTTAGTTGCATGAATCGAAAAACATTTACTTGTTCGCCTCGAATGTATTGCTTGCAAACATATTTTAATTATGCCATAACCTCGAGCCCGACATCCCTCAGCTCTGAGCTCTAATTGTGTAATGTATACTTTTTGTTTTTAAAGAACAAAACAGAAAAGTGTCCTTTGCACTTTGGCGGCTTCAATTGATATCGGCTTACAAATTACGACTGAAAACGTTGTCTCTGAGCCCAGCACTTGGCTCTTCCAATTGCCGCTCAAGTGTAGTCGAGTCTGTGCACGTGCGTTGAACTCCGTGCTCAAAGAGGAGAACTCCTCGAGCTGGATTTTAGTTCAGCACAATTACCCAGACACTGACGTCCCAGACAGGACCAAATAAGTTTCGCCTGACTGCCTGCCTCCCGTTCAGCCACTATACATATAGTATATATATAAAACGTTTTTAATGCCAACATTTAAGAAATACCACGTAGCAATCGCATGCCCCCAAGTCTGTATCTGTGTGTGTGTGTCCTGGAAAAACCAAACAAGTCTCGACATTGCCTGGCAAAGAGTTGACCAATGGCAAAATGTGAAATTGTATGCATTCCAGCCATATTGGGTATTGACAAACATCTCCTGACCGCAAATCCTATTAAAGTGCAGACTGACAGGCGTCCAAAATGTGCGTCGGCCAAATGCTTCTCGCTGCTGCAAGAAGCTGCCGTCAGTCGACAGATGTTTCTGCAATTTCATTCGCTTGCAAAGCTTGTTGCCATTGATTTTAGCTTAACATTAGTATATAAAATAACGAGAAAGAGACTTTAAAAAGAGAATAGCTGTACATATAGTTTGATTGAATTGTTTCGGTGGGGCAATCGTATAGGAGCTATATAATATAGATATGTGATGCTGATTGTTATATCATAGATATGTGATGCTGATTGTTATATCATAGATATGTGATGCTGATTGTTATCTTATATATTGTTTTTGGGCATCATAGTTAAGCTCGAGCAGAGTTATGTTTAAGAGAAACAACTTTTTCATGCACAAACACAATTTACAATACTTTCGATTAAAGATAACGTCTATATCTTTTATCTGCACGAACTACTATAAGTGGCATATCTTTTATCTGAACTATTGTAAATTCTTCCTTACGCAACAAAAAAAGACGTCCTTAAAATAGCCTGAAA